TGTTTTGGTGTATTGTGGTGATTTAGTGTTTTTATTTTGCTCATCAAAGAGACCAAAATCGACAAAATATCAAGAGACAACTTTTAATCGGCATTAAACGATCTACACAATTTTGCTAAGAACAGAAAAATGTCAGTGGCGCACATGTTTTTTAGAGAAATATTCCAGTGATTATTTCCCCGTGAAATGGACCAATCAGCTAATCTAATTTTTCGAATAAATTTTGTTTAGATAAGTGATTAAATCCCAAGACCAGTTTAAACGCGATTATTTTTTCGGCTTCCTTTTGGGCTTTCTTTCTGTCGTTTATTACTAATTCTGAGAGATTTTGACAACAGTTCATTTAAAAACATTGATTTACAACTCATATATATATGACTCAATAACGACTTTAATCGGTGAAAACCCCTTATTCGATATTATTTTGAACAAATAAATGGAGAAAAATACGTCAGAATTCGATATATTGACATGCGAAACGGTCCTCGATGCATTGTTGGGATGCGTAACCAAGGTAGCAAAAGCACAAACATTAATTACGAGACGTCATTTTGAAACGTCTTTAAATTTTATTTAAGCTACGTTTGCACGACGCAAGTTTTGCTTGCGCAAGATTCAATTCAAAGAAATGTAAACTGTGTTTCAAGTAATTGCTCAACTGATTGTACAAGAAAAATTACTTTGCAAGTAAAGCAGTACGTACTTACAGTAAGTACTTTTCTTGCACGCTAGTACTTGCAGAGCGAAAATTTTACATGTAAACACGTTGTCAAGTTCTTGCAGTAGCAGTTGCACGAAAAAATGGCCCCAAGCAGGTTGTCTCACGACCAAATTATGAGGTTTTTAACAATTTACGAAAAGCACGAATGTTTGTAGATCGTTAGAGTACACCTTAGTGTACACTATAGAAATAAAATTATGAGATGCTGCCTCAAAGAGTTTTGGAATAGACAGTTTTTTCTCAAGAGTTTTGAAATAAATAGTTTTTCCTCAGATTTATCCGTGGTTTTACCCATACTCTTGTTTTTTGATTTTTTTCTAACAAAGTACGCAATTCATCACTTAACGTATGACATAAAATATTTACACCACATTTAACAATCTCTGTGGTATCCATAGTTCTTGCACAATAACTTGACTAGTGTAAACATACAATTTTAAAATGTTCAGTTGCAAGTACTCGCAAACAAGTATTTGCGCAAGCAAAACTTGCATCGTGTAAACGTCGCTTTACGGCTGGCGCTGTAGTGAAAATGAATTCACGGCTTAGTAATATTTCCGGTTTATAGTTAATAAAATTCTTATAGTTATTTGCTTCATCCTAAGTCATTCGCTTCATTTTTAAGTCATTCAGAAAATAATCTAGCCGTATATCACTCAACCTATAAATTTAATTGATTAAACTACCCAAATAATTTTTTGCATGATTTTGCTTTTTAGAAAATAGTTTCATGCACAATAATTTTAGAATAAAAACACTCGACCGCTTCGCGGTCTTGGGTTTTTATTAAATTATTGTGCATTCAACTATTTTCCAAGCAAAATCACGCGCAAAATATATTTGAATAGTTTAATCGATTAAATTTATAGGTCTCGTGATATATAATAATAATATGATAATATATAAATAATAATCCATATCCACGTTCCTGGTGAATCTGTCAACAGTCAACATTTTTTAGCATTAAAATATGTCTTACCCTTAGTAACTTTGTAGTCTTAGCACCACAGGTGTTAACACTAACAACTTTATAGGAATGTCTTACCATTAGATTAGATTAGATTACTAGAGCTGGCTATTGGCCTGAGGAGATCCACTGCAACTTTCTTAGATCTATTATGATCCTCTTCCAATCCTTAGGTTACATTCTCCAGTCCTATCTTTTTCGCAAAGCCCAGCAAATTGGAGACTGAATCCTCCATGTAGCTCCCTGGCAATGGTCAAATCATTTAGCAAGAACCGTACATTTGCCAGGCTGTCGCACCGACAGCCTGGTATTCTGTCGTTTCTTCTTCAGATTGACAGGACCTGCAAATGGCTACGTCCGTCAAGCTCATTAGCTTTTAGATGCCTATTCAGCTTACAATGCCCTATTAGTAGACCCACTACAGGTTTGACTGTTTTTCTGTCCTTGCTTATCAGGTATGAACTTTTTCGCCTCTCTTTGCCCTGGTGAGTTTCTCCACCATTCTCGAGATTTGTTGGCAACCCATCGTCCCGTAGTCATTCTCGTGACTGGTTTTGCAACGCCGCAGAAGGGTTCTGGGTTCTGGGTCTATGAATGGCATTGATGAGCCTTGCTTTGCAATTTCATCTGCCTTTTCGTTACCCTTGTAACCCTCATGCACTGGTACCCAGGCTAACGTAACATGTCTTACCATAGGACATTATCTTTGAAAAGAGAATTGAAATAAGGAATTTGAAAATTAAACAAGAGTTCTATGGGGTATTGGCAACAATTAATTTACGTGTTTACTTTTATCTCTACATATTTTTATAAATATTTTATGTGTGTTGATTACTTTTTCAACATTTCAAACACTTTTTCAAACTTTTTTTTGTCCTTCAAATCCTTCCATTGTAGTAAGTTTAAGCAAAAGCAGCTGTTTGGTTTGGTTTTAGAATAGTAAGAATTTTCACTTCAAATATGCGCACATAATGCACACACCATTTTTTTCTTTGTGTTTCTGATGACAAGAGGAGATCTTCTTCAAGTGTCATGTTCCTAGTGAACGTTGACGACTGCCATGTTAACAATATCTCTGTATCGCTCTCAATCTCTCTCGATCGCTCTCGATTACATGGAGTAATTCATCCGCGCTCAAGCCTGTCCATTGCGTCAAGTTCCTTAACCACGAAAGCCTCTTGATAACCTCTTTCCTTGGATTTTTCCGTTAAAGATCAGTCGGAGAAACTCATATCGAGTTTCTCTGGTTCAAGTTTTCGTCGCTTGATAATATTCAGAAGTAGTGTATCATGATCCATTCTTCGAAGTACTCCTTCATTTCTGGTTCTGGTGGTCCAAGATATTTTAAGCATTCTTCTGCATGCCTACATTTCAAATGCTTCGATTTTATTTACCGTTTCTTTATTAAGTGTCCATGTCTCACATCCATACAAAAGAATCGACCACACATAACACTTTGTAAAATTTTCCCGTATTTTGTTGTTTAGCGAACTATTTGAGAGCAGCGACTTGAACTTCTGAAATGCATTTCTTGCTTGTTCTATGCGACATCTGATTTCGTATGAAGGATCGATATGTTGATTAATCCAACAGCCTAGGTTTTAAACTATATCTAGTGAAAAATTGGATTTAACGTAGTTGCGTTTACAAAAAATATTTTTTCTACTTTGAAAATTTATTCTAGTGGCGAAAAATTCAAACCTTTTTCAAATGAAGGTTTCCCATATAACACAACACAATCCTATAGATATCTTGAGGATATCCACCAAGGATATAGTAAATATCTTAGGGATATCCAAAAACCAGGAGGATACTTATGGGATATCCAAGTGGGACAAAAAAAGTCATCTTCAAGACATCCCTAGGCAAGTCTTTTACGATTATTTGGAATATTTCTAGGATAATACAAGGATGATGTTGGGAGCATTATAGAATATTTTTCGGACATTATATGAGGACTGTTACTTGACAATACTTACTTCATCCTTAGTTTATAGTAAAAACGTTCGCGATTTAGTATTATTTAGCCACATTTTGACGTTATTCATTGGATATTTTTATTAACAGCTCGAAAATATACCTATATAAATATGTCAATGAATTTTGCGTCAAAATTTATAAGTTTATTTGTATGAGTTAAGAGCTTTCAATTTATACTGTACCATCGAAAAAAAACGGCGTTCAATTGGCTTGAAAATTACGATCGATGACATTCCCCATATAATTTTACGTACAAAATAACAGCTATCTTCATTTCCAAGCCACCTCTGACGCCGTTTTGTTCGATCGTATGGTATTATACCAGATTATACTACCCTTTATGGAGTCTAGCAGTTTATGTCTAGCAGCAACAGTTTACATCAAAGTTAGCACACAGGATACAGTTATAATTTTTAACACCACACATTCCAGAAACTCACAATTTAAACCCAAAAATAGGATTTCTGTTTGAATAGATCAAACACGAAAATGGGTTTAGGGATAAAGAACAAGCGATTTTCAACAAATTTTCATTACGAGACCCTGAGTTGTTCGTCGTTTTTCGACATTAGTTGAGGTTAGGATAGAATTTCTGCTAGAACAAGGCTAGAACTATGAGTATAAGAAAAAACTAAGTCAAACTCAACCAGTTTTGTTAGTTTCAGTCATTTTCAAGCCCATCCAATATCGACAAACGACCGAATTCACCTCGAATTTCACTTAAATCAAAGAACTGAAGAAACACACGATGCAAAAAACATCAAAAATAAACCACTGTCGAGATGGATAGTGGGAAATTTTTTGCGCGGGCGTTTTAAATTTTCTGTATTACTCGGAGTGGCCAAGCGCATAAATATCCAGATTATCCAGAAGATACCAACAGGATATTTTGCTGCCTTGACGTAATATATATCTATCTGTATGGTTTATTGCATTTTATGTAATATAAAAAGTAGTACATTATTTATTTTTCCTAAATATCTAGACGATATTGTTAGGATATTTTATTATCATGAGCATGTTTGGATATCTCAGCTGGATGTACATTAGATATACGACAGAGATAGGATATTCTATTCTGAGACATCTACAGGATTTCAGGATGTCTGGAGGATATCCTACAGATGTCTTTATAAGATGATCTTATAATGGGACATTCCCACATTCTATGAATATCCTGCGGATATTGTGTATTATATGGGTTGACAGTTCTAGTTAAAAATAATATAATATTGTATTCAATAATGAATACTCTGAGACACAGTAATGATTATTTATATTTAGTATTAAGATTTATTCTTCCATTAGTAAACCTTTTTTATTTTCTTCTAGGTACGACCGGAACTTGATCTACACGTACGCAGGAAGCATCCTTGTGGCGGTGAATCCTTATCGGATGTTCGATGGCTGCTACGGCATAGAATCTGCTCAAAAATACAAAGGGAAAATGATAGGAGCTCTTCCGCCGCACTTGTTTGCATCGGCTGCGGCAGCGTATGCTGCATTGCCATTTCCACAGGTAATAATTTTCTGCATAGCGAACCTAATGAGTTAGATATGTATTGTGCTAGATGTCAGTAAAACAATTACCATTCTTCTATTTTATGGCTTATTTGTAAAACGCAGTTTATTTTATGAACTCCCAGAGTTTTTTTTTAAACATACCCAACTGACCTGACCTAACTGACTCCGTTAACAGGGCCGGCGGAAGGCAAATATTGAGACCGGGCGAGTACCCTATATGACGCCCTCCCCCCCCCCTAGTTATTATAATTCTTTTCACTTAAAGATACTTCAAAATTCTTCTCTTCTTTCAATCTTAGTTTGCGGTTGTTCTTTTTTGTTTACCGGGTGTATCTCGAAATTGACTCACCCCTATAACTTTTTTATTTTTTTTTTACATAAAAAACGAGATTTGGTATGTTAGTATATGACATAAATTAGGATTGATTGACTGTTCAATTGTTTTTGGCCACTTCTTGTTTCACCGGAAATGACTAAAACTTTTGATTTTTAAATGGCACCTCAGTATATTTCCACTTTATTCGATAGAAAATTACACTCTGAGTAGAATGATAGATCTTATTTCATCTTTTGAAATTTTCGTTCAAAAAACATTATATTTTAAATTTCAATCTAGAGTGCCATGGCTGTGTTAAAAACACTAATTTTTAAATAAGGAGCCTTGGAAAAATAAATTTGATCGTCTAGTGTTTTTCGTGTCTTGTCCTGGCCGGTCGAATAGATGCCAAAATCGTATTTTTAATCGAAAATATCAAAAGATGACATATGTGATAAAGTAGAAATATACCGAGGATGCCATTTAAAAATCAAAACTTAGTAGTAATTTCCGGTGAAACAGGAAGTGACAAAAAACAATTGAATACGTCCAATTAATCCTAATTTATATCGCATACCTACTAACATACCAAATTTCGTTTTTTTTTTCTGAAAAAATAAACAAGTTATAGGGGTATTATTAATAAACAAGTTATAGGGGTACAAGTTATAGAGGCGCACTCGGTATATAGAGTTATGAGAAATAGAATTCCAACTTCGGCAGTCTTGTTCTGTATAAGTGATCTTTGAAAATATTAGTATTTAGTTTCAAGCAGTTGCATTATTTTTCTATAAGAATTTAAGATTTTTTTTCTTTTTCACAATCAATTATTTCGTGCAGAATCAATTTATGATCAAATACTGTTTTGTCGGCTTCAAAATGAGGTTCAACCAGTGTTTGAGATGCATTCCTTTGTCTTGCTCTAATGAGAAAATTCTACGATTCTGCTACCATTTTCCGTGTATTATTACACGTTCAATTGGGAAAATCAAAATCACCAAAAGATTGATATACCGTATGATCGAATAAAAACAGCGTCAGCGATAGCTATGAAATGACAATCGATGACACTTCCCATATAAATTTACATATAAAATGACAGCGATCTTCATTTCATAGCCATCCTGGTGCTGTTTTTATTCGATCACGTATTTTCCCACTACTCTTAATAAATTAATTTAACTAATGAGGCAAACTTATAAGCTTTTTTTGGATAATAAGGATATCGAGATCCTCTTCAGCTTCTTGCGAATATTTACCTCATATAATTTTAGGGTACATCAGCCATCAATAACAAATAAAAGGGTAGTAGAAAAAGTGCGATTTTGAGTAGTCAGTCTAAAACTGTCAATTTTGCTGACTCTTGACCCAAAACAGTTTGTTTAGAGAAAATTTATAAAAACAAGAATTATAGAAAGTAAGGTTATTTACAAAAAGTTGATAGCTTTTGAATTATAAGTAAAATACCACGAACAAATCAAATTTATATTTTTTTATTTTATTTTGTTTAAGATTTTTCCACGAAAATGAATTCGCAAATTCAAGTTTCGAATAGAGCACCCAAGAAATATATAGAATGGAAGAAATTAAAACTATCCTAAAGCTTTCGTGCAAAAGATTTTTGACCATAATTTCAGTAAACTATAATAGGATACGTCTAGGATATAGTAGTGTTTATAATGTTTAGTCAGATATTCTGCCCTATGTGGTGTGGTAATTGGTAACATTTTAATGTGGAAATTGATAGAACCGATTAATTATTGATCTGGTCATTTGTTACTCTTTGTTTAGTTTACTGTTTTTAAATATTTTAGTTGTGCCGTCGTGGCGCCCCTCGTATACGGCGCCCTAAGCGGCCGCCCGGGTCGCCCGGCCTTTCCGCCGGCCCTGAATATTCCAAAATAAAAAACATTGTGTGCTTTGTTTGTATCAATAAATATTAACGTAATCTAGTACTATCTAAAAGAGTGTCTATTACTATCCTTTACTGGATATTTTTATTAAAAAAATTCTGGAGGTCTGCACTAGGTTTTTATTATATTGACATGATGTAGTAGATTTACGTCCTTAGTAGATACCCTCCTGGCAAGCGAAACATTGGGTCGGCGTTCACATGTATAGGAGTGAATTGCTATGGCAATCTAGTAAGTCGGAGAGAGCAAAAATACGAAGTATTTATTATATTACCACTTAATCTGACGCTAAATTCCAGGCACTTGAGAAAATGCTTCATCTTCTGTCTTTGTTCAGTGCATTTTATTTTACTAAGCGTGTTGACCATACTCTTCGTACATACGAAAATCGGCACCCAAGGCCTGAAATTCCGACCCTGGTATATAAATTGGAGCAGCTTTAGGACCAGAAAATATATATTTTTTTTAATTTCCGGCGTTTCGTCGTATATTCTAGACTTTTGAAAGTTATTCTCAGCTAAGAGGAAAATAATAAAGTTATGGGTTTGAGCCAACAGTTGCTTATATTTTTGATTTTGGAAAAAATCGGCGTCAAAGATGGCTGGGGAAAGACAATCCATTATAATTTTGGAGAGGTTAAACTCTAGACGTTATTTACCTGGCCCGTACTCTTTTTTTATTTTTAACGGCGCTTACTACCTCGGCCTTAAGAAGGTTGTATTTTTTTGTATTGAGTAAAAATTATTTTTAAATGGTGTAGTTTAAAATTCGAGAAAAAATATTTTTTGGGAATAAATTTATGTGTCGGAAACGTTCTATTCTTTATTAATTTTTCTATAATTAGTGTTAAGTTTTAGTTCAAGTCTTATGTCAATTTTAAGTATATGAAGAGATTGACCTCGCCAAAATTGTCATGGATTTTCATTCCCCAGCCGTCTTGGTATAAAAATTAATGAGTTCTGTTTTTTTTAGTCATATTCATTGACACAGAATAATTATATTCAAATGTATTGAAAATAGTACAAACTCTTTATAAAAATATCATCATATTGAAGCTGAAAATACTTCAAAGCCGACATCAAAATCTCCGTTGCAAAACCATATTATATTATCCGACCCTATATAACTGAAGTAGGAAGCGAAGAAAACAATTAATTTATATTTATTATTATGATTATTTCTATTTATTATTTTTTCTTTGTTATTTCCTGTATAATTTCATCAATTATTTTTTCGAGTTAGAAACTTTTCTTAAAACATTTTACAAAATAATGTTTTTTTTTCTAAATAAATAATATATTTCTGATCATTTTATTTATTTATTATGTTAATAAAGTATTCCAGCTGTTATCTGAAAATAACACCAACGGGACATGAATTTAAAAATGAAATTTTTCTTTTTACCGAAAATTCGTTCCATGGTTCACAGTATCTATTTGTAGAAATTACGGATGACAAATTTGTCTCTAAAACTTCTTAGTTCCACACACTAACAAAAACACTTAAATTTCCAACGCGAAAACAACAATAATAACATAAACATTTGATACTCAACAGTATTTTCATTACAGGTTGTTGTAATCAGTGGAGAAAGTGGATCTGGCAAAACTGAATCCACCAAACTGGTAATGCAGTATTTAGCTGCAGTAGCGCCTTCTGCTCCACGAGGTCAGGCTCTCGTCACTGAGCAAATTCTGGAAGCAACGCCATTACTGGAAGCTTTCGGCAATGCCAGAACTGTGAGGAACGATAACAGCTCACGATTTGGAAAATATCTAGAAGTTTATTTCAAAAATGGATCCATTATAGGTACTACACTCTTTATTATTCTACAGGGTGTTCCAGAAATAAGTGCAATTATTTTAAGGGGTGGTAGATCTGGCTAAAAGAAATATATTTTCTCTTTACCATTTTTAAAATAAATTGAAAATAAACGAGTTATTTAACTTGGGTGATTAGTAGTAATTATCTTTAAAATATATTTTTTTTTGTAGGTGCCAAAATAACTCAATATCTGTTGGAGAAATCAAGAATAGTAACTCAAGCTCCAGGAGAACGAAATTATCATGTATTCTATGAACTTCTGGGTGGACTAACAAACAACGATAAGCAGAAATATGGTTTGATTGAACCTGATAAGTACTTCTACTTAAATCAAGGTAGGTTTTTAAAGGTTCATGCCAGCTATAAAAATAAACACAAGAAATATATTGTGTTGGTTTGGGTTGTAAGGCAAAACAGAATTACAGTTAAGTTAGATTAATGTTATTTAAAAAATGCATATACCTGTGTGGCAGATTCATCTCTCCAAAAAAAGTCCTATGCTTCAAACTTTCTCTATGGTTATTTTTAATTTGTTTTTATTTTTTACGTTACGTTTATTTATGTTTTTTTCTTTAAAATGAAAGAAGCGATTGCCATACATTACTAACATCTACCGATGCATGAGCAATACATTTATTTTTATTAAGATTGTATTAAAAAAGCTTCTTTTACTTTCCTTTTAGAGGCTATCGCTTCTTTCATTATAATTTTTGCATTGTTAAAATCTATTCTGTGCCCTGTCCCATGAATGCTGACAAATCTTAGATTGAACCCCAAATCATAGACAGAATACAGAATATACACAATGAAACAATACACAAAATATACAACTTACAATTCCCTACATACGAGGCGTTTCGGAAAAAAATAGAAGGATAGGAAAACAATATAACATACGAACATCTTTCAAAACACAAAATACACTTAGATCCATTTTAGCACACACTAAACCAATGAACACTGAACAACAAACAAAAAATGTAATATACAAAATAACAGGTGAATGTGATAATTTTTATATTGGTGAAATATCTAGACTAGACCCTTAAATGTTCAAATTAAAGAACATAAAGATTATTTACGAAAGGGCTACTTTCGCAAATCTATGATTTTTCAGCATTCATGGGACACAGGGAACAGAATAGATTTTAATAATGCAAAAATTATAATGAAACAAGCGATAGCCTTTAAAAGGAAAATAAAAGAGTTTTTTAATACAATCTAATAAAAATAAATGTATTGCTCATGTATCGATAGATGTTAATAATGTATGGCAATCGCTTCTTTGATTTTAAAGAAAAAAACATAAATAAACATAAAATATGTAAAAATTAAAAATAATCATACAGAATGTTTGAAACCTTTTGGTTTTACCTTATTAAGCAATTCTTATCAGGTAGTAATTGTTAATTTTGAAGTTTTAACTTGATATAATGTGGTTTTAACAGAACGTCAACGGTTTTTGTAGATGTATCTGTTTTAAAAAAAACTAAAGTGTTCTCGAATAGTTGCATTTTTTTGCTTCCGATTTTCTTACAATATTGCTACTTAATACCCATAGAACTTTTTCGAAATAATGTTGTATACTTTAAACAATTATTCTCTTATTTCAAGGAGGAAGTGACTGTTCTCCTGGTCATTCCGGTTCCGGAGCCGATTGGAAAGCGCTAACTAGGGCAATGGAGGTACTCGGAGTGAGCGAAAACGAACAGGAAGGCATTGTCAAGGTGTTGGCTTCGGTACTGCATCTAGGAAACATTTACTTTCATAGGAGGCAACTCAGGTAAGAGAATAACTCGTAGGTGGTGAAACATTTTGAATTGTTTTTTCGACGCAACAGGCGTGCATTTAATTAATGTTGCATTAGTGAGTTAACGGTTTTTATGGCTAAGAGAATAATTTCGTAAGGCTACATATAAAGTATTATCCGATATTTACATGCTTTTACTTTCATAAAAACTAATAAGGTAATGCACAAAAAAATAAAAGAGATGGCAATTCTGCTATACCATTTGGATTTCTCTATTGCGTGCCTATTTAATTTCAATTCAATTGCGATAAAAACAAAAAATCTAAAATTAAATACTACGAATGCATTTCTTATTATTTTGAAGGTTTAGTTTAGTTTTGTTTGCACACCAACAAAATAAAAATAATGGCTGAATTAAATAAGGCTGATTTTTTTACTCTGTATTTGAAGCACTTTTCTAAGATCCAAAATGATCTCACTGTAAATCAAATCATGACACAATGTCTTGCCATATTTAGATAATTTATAAATCCAATTATGAGATAAAAGGATCTCTATTACCAGAAATCAACAGAAGAATTAAGTTGTATTGTATTGACTAAGAGCAGGTCCCAGATAGGACCTTCCATTGCGGCCGCGAGGGCCTATTGTGGCTCAGTTTCTACAAGCTCTTTAATAGAAAAAGAGCATTAAAGTTCACCCTCAAGACCCAGCGTTTTAACATAGGCCGTTATGTCCGAGGGTGATATGTCTCCTAGGTCTGATAGGTCTAGCATGGGTTTGCCAAACACCTCAAACCTGGTCCTGCCCCCAGCGGGGCAGGTACCCTTAACGTGCTTCATTGTTTCGTCATCTCCCATACAAAGTTGGCATTCGGCGTCTTCCACCAGTCCCATCCTCTGTAGGTGTGATCTCAGACGGCAGTGGCCCGTGTATACTGCAATTAGCGTACGCCATTCCTACCAGCCTTTAGGAGTTCTTTTGTTCTACGTTTGGATGGCCCTGCTAGAATTTTCGTGGCATGTTCCATTCCGGGACTGTCATTCCAGTCCCGAAACATCGCACCCCTAACCTATTCACAGATCCTGTCTCTTGCGAGATTTTTTGGAACGCTAAGTGTCAGTTCTGGGCCCACAAATGGGCGAGCTTGCACCAATTTTGGCGAGGAAATCCGCACATTCATTTCCCTCTAGTCCGGCATGTCCCGGCGTCCATATTAGCGACAATTCGTTCATATATCCTAATATATTGAGTAGTTTCTTACAATGAAGGATCGTCATAGACGTGCTTTTCATTGCCTCAAGTGCTTTCAACGCGGCTTGACTATTCGAAAATATTCTTATTGTTTTCCCGATGTATTGCTGTTCTACCAGCAGTTGCACACAGGTTTCAATAGCATATAGCTCAACTTGGAAAAATATGTTGTGTTTTCCAAGACTGTGGTAGATCTTAGTCTTTGGACTGCTGCAGTAAATTCCTGCGCCAGATCCTTTTTCGTTTTTGGATCCGTCGGTATTTCCACATGTAATAAATCATTTCACGGTTTATCCCATTCATCCCTATTCGGAAACAGGACGTTGTAGGTGCGTAAGAATTATGTTACCATAGAGTACTTATGGAAGAAACTCAATTCTATCCAAATCTAGAATTCTACTTTATCTAAAGAAGAAAACATTCGATTAATGTGTACTACTAGTCATGACCTATGCATGCGAAACCTAAACACTTAAAATGGACATTATAAGGAAACTGCAGGTCGCACAACACTCAATTGAAAGAAATATGCTGGAAATAACCAAGACTGTAAAGAACAAAGTGGATACGACAATAGACCCAGGTAATAGAGAATCAAATCGCTCAATGGGCAGGTCAACAGATAGACCACAAAAATTACACCACGGTACCCACGTTGAATTAAGAGACCTAGAGGAAGACCAAACCTGAGATTGAACTATGATATTAGGAAATTAGAAGGGATAACTTGGGCCCGCATAGCTAACAATAGACAACAATGGGCCCAACTACAAAGAGAGTAGATATCTAAATATATGAGGGAGACTACACCATAATTGGAAACGGTTGAATAACCTGAGGATGATGATGATAATAAGATAAAAGAGAAATGTTAAAAATAAGCATAGGAAGAACTAAGAAATTCGCTAAATTTCAAAATTGACAAGAATTAAACAAAATTGTAACAAAGAGAGTAGATTAAATTTATAGGTAGAATAAAACAGCAAAAAGTCAATGATTTTCAAAATTTAAGCAAGAAATATATATTTTTTTAATTTTCAAAGTAAAATAACACGACTCTTTTGGATTTATAATAAATTATACGGGTACTATAAGTCCATCCCATCGATCTCTAATTGTAATTTTGGTGAAAAAAATCAAGGTAAACTACGAGATATAAGTACCTGTTCAAAATAAACCTACCATACATTCTAATTTACAATCAGTACTACCAGGAATGCTAATTTACGAATAACATTTTTAGGCACGGCCAGGAAGGTGTGGAAGTGGGTTCCGATGTGGAAATCAAGTGGGCAGCGCATCTCTTGCAGATTTCCGCCACCGGTCTGCAGAGGACTCTAACTTCACGCATAACGGAAGCCCGCGCAGAACGCGTTTTCTCGCCGTTGAGCATAGACCAAGCATTGGACGCGCGCGATGCTTTTGCCAAAGCCTTGTACTCTGCATTGTTCCATTGGTAAGTCTAAAAGATTTTATTTTAAAATAATCTGTTTTTTTTTAAATAATATTTTATTCGCAATAACACTTTTACATTGTACCTATAATAAAATTAACTAATGATCTGAATTAGACGATATTTCAACAGCTTTGTTGATATTCATGCTTAGAAAGTCTTGGAAAGTTTACATTTTTTAGTTTAATTTAAATATTTTCAAAAATGTTTCATTTTAAATCCATTAACATCTTTCTATATAGATTATTACAAAACTATTAAAAGTTAATCAAAAACATGTTTGAAGGTGGTACACAATGTGGAATATACAGGGTGTCCCAATATTCCATGGAACTTTTACGTATTTTTGGAACCAAAATAAGTTTATTGGATACAATTTACTTCTATACAAAAGTGCTTTGCTTGTCCGTTAGAGGGCAACTTTAAAAAATAAACACATTTTTACAGATATTTTATGAACCGTTATTCCGAATTGAATGAAATTTTGGGTGTCTATGTTTTGCAAAGTTCTTTAACATTTGACTGACACAAAAACCAAAAAAATATACGGGAAGGGTGAAAACTACCCCGACAACTACATAAATTTTAGTATAAATATTTTTCAACCCAAACCGATGATTTTTTTTCGTAGAATGGCCCTTCTAGTATTTACTACATTTTTTGTCTCTTGTAAATAAAAACGCCCCCGCGCATGCTTTTTGAGGAAATTAAATCCAAAGCTGACTTCCAAAAAATGTTTTTTTGTCATCAAGCTATTGAGACGCATAAAATCTATTATGCTCTAATAATCTAGTTGGCGAAAATATGGAATTTTATGGTTGTATCTCAAAGAATATTTGACAAAAAGCTTCATAAAAAGCTTAAAAAATAATAAATTGATAAACGTTCGGATTTATTTTTAATTGATGCTCCCTAGCGGACAAACGAAACACTTTTGTATAAAGGTAAATTATGTATATGCAATTAACTTATTTTCATTCAAAAAATACGTAGTTGTTTTATGTCCACGAAATATTGGTTGTGAACTCCCTATATATTTTGTAGGTCTAGTTTAGGAAAATAAATTCTTCAAAAAAGTTTTTCTCAAAAACTATGCGATGTGACGTTTTCTTACAAGAGACAAAAAATGTAGTTAATACTAGGAGTACCAGTTTACTATAAAAAAATCAGTTTCGGTGGAGTTTTAAAATATTTCTACTAAAATTTATGTAGAGGTGGGGGTAGTTTTCATCCTTCCCGTACTTCTTCTTGAGATTTGTGAATATCAAAACATAAAGCACTTAGCAAAACATAAGCACCCTAAATCTCATTCAAATCGGAACATCGTTTTTAAAATATCTTTAATCTAATTAAAAATGTCTACTAATAGAATATATATTTTACTATTGTAAAATGTCAAAAATACGTTATATCTAATGGTACTTTAGCATATCATATTTAAAGTACGTCTGCTGGATCTGTGTCTATGAAAGGAATGCGGACAAAAAACATTTAAATAAACAGCAATATATTTTACACGTCGAGTTGACGAGTACGTCACCGCAAATCGCTCCGCCCACTCATTTTATTGGCTACTTGCAAATTTGTCGAATTTTCATTGATGGGACGCGTCGTCTAATTTTTTACGAAACACATCGAGAGAAATATCGTTTCCCTTCTCACGGATACCCCATAGCTACAGAACGGATAGACGTACTGTATATGCAGTAATGAGTGATGATATATCTTTATTTCATAGTTGCTAATACAAAACGAAATAGCGATAACTAATAATGTTGTTAATTAATATCAAAAGATAAAGCACTTAGCAAAACATAAGCACCCTAAATCTCATTCAAATCGGAACATCGTTCTTAAAATATCTTTAATCTAATTAAAAATGTCTACTAATAGAATATATATTTTACTATTGTAAAATGTCAAAAATACGTTAAATCTAATGGTACTTTAGCATATCATATTTAAAGTACGTCTGCTGGATTTGTGTCTATGAAAGGAATGCGGACTAAAAACATTTAAATAAACAGCAATATATTTTATACGTCGAGTTGACGAGTACGTCACCGCAAATCGCTCCGCCCACTCATTTTATTGGCTACTTGCAAATTTGTCGAATTTTTATTGATGGGACGCGTCGTCTAATTTTTTACGAAACACATCGAGAGAAATATCGTTTCCCCTCTCACGGATACCCCATAGCTACAGAACGGACAGACGTACTGTATATGCAGTAATGAGTGATGATATATCTTTATTTCATAGTTGCTAATACAAAACGAAATAGCGATAACTAATAATGTTGTTAATTAATATCAAAAGATAAAGCACTTAGCAAAACATAAGCACCCTAAATCTCATTCAAATCGAAACATCGAAAATATCTTTAATCTAATTAAAAATGTCTACTAATAGAATATATATTTTACTATTGTAAAATGTCAAAAATACGTTAAATCTAATGGTACTTTAGCATATCATATTTAAAGTACGTCTGCTGGATTTGTGTCTATGAAAGGAATGCGGACTAAAAACATTTAAATAAACAGCAATATATTTTATACGTCGAGTTGACGAGTACGTCACCGCAAATCGCTCCGCCCACTCATTTTATTGGCTACTTGCAAATTTGTCGAATTTTTATTGATGGGACGCGTCGTCTAATTTTTTACGAAACACATCGAGAGAAATATCGTTTCCCCTCTCACGGATACCCCGTAGCTACAGAACGGACAGACGTACTGTATATGCAGTAATGAGTGATGATATATCTTTATTTCATAGTTGCTAATACAAAACGAAATAGCGATAACTAATAATGTTGTTAATTAATATCAAAAGATAAAGCACTTAGCAAAACATAAGCACCCTAAATCTCCTTCAAATCGGAACATCGTTCTTAAAATATCTTTAATCTAATTAAAAATGTCTACTAATAGAATATATATTTTACTATTGTAAAATGTCAAAAATACGTTAAATCTAATGGTACTTTTTTTATATCATATTTAAAGTACGTCTGCTGGATTTGTGTCTATGAAAGGAATGCGGACAAAAAACATTTAAATAAACAGCAATATATTTTATACGTCGAGTTGACGAGTACGTCACCGCAAATCGCTCCGCCCACTCATTGTATTGGCTACTTGCAAATTTGTCGAATTTTTATTGATGGGACGCGTCGTCAAATTTTTTACGAAAAACATCGAGAGAAATATCGTTTCCCCTCTCACGGATACCCCATAGCTACAGAACGGACAGACGTACTGTATATGCAGTAATGAGTGATGATATATCTTTATTTCATAGTTGCTAATACAAAACGAAATAGCGATAACTAATAATGTTGTTAATTAATATCAAAATATAAAGCACTTAGCAAAACATAAGCACCCTAAATCTCATTCAAATCGGAACATCGTTCTTAAAATATCTTTAATCTAATTAAAAATGTCTACTAATAGAATATATATTTTACTATTGTAAAATGTCAAAAATACGTTAAATCTAATGGTACTTTAGCATATCATATTTAAAGTACGTCTGCTGGATTTGTGTCTATGAAAGGAATGCGGACAAAAACATTTAAATAAACAGCAATATATTTTATACGTCGAGTTGACGAGTACGTCACCGCAAATCGCTCCGCCCACTCATTTTATTGGCTACTTGCAAATTTGTCGAATTTTTATTGATGGGACGCGTCGTCTAATTTTTTACGAAAAACATCGAGAGAAATATCGTTTCCCCTCTCACGGATACCCCATAGCTACAGAACGGACAGACGTACTGTATATGCAGTAATGAGTGATGATATATCTTTATTTCATAGTTGCTAATACAAAACGAAATAGCGATAACTAATAATGTTGTTAATTAAATATTCATCTTTGCATACTTAACAACTTAATATAGACATGCAACGTGTAGGTTTCTATTTTAACCAGTAGATATTTCTTTAATTTTAGCTTCGAATTTGGTTTTATCGAAAGGGTTAGTTCAGTAACACTTAATTATTAGCTAGTTTCTTGTTATATATTTTTAGTTCATACTGTATTGTAAAATACACCTTTACATACTTGATTCCTCTCCTGAAAATAAGGTTTTACATTAATAAGTCATGTAATTTTTTAAAAAGAAAATTGTTTTTCATGTGTCATGTTTTTTTAATATCAACTGCCATTTAGCCGGATTAGATTTCTCAATAACATCCTTCCGAATCAGATTTTTATTTCTTATCCACCCCATTTCATCAGCTTTCTTTAAAATAAGTTATCGTCATCATCATTCTCAGCTTATTCAACCATTTCTAATTATGGTGTAGCCTCCCGCACATATTTAGATACTCTCATAGTAGTTGAGCCCGTTATTGTCTATTGTTGGCTATGCAAAGTTATCCCTGCTAATTTCCTAATATCATGGTCCCATCTCAGGTTCGGTCATCTTCTAGGTCTCTTAATTCTTCGTGGTTAGGTTAGGTCCATATGTTGTCCGTCCTTCTCGCCTGGTGTCCTGTCCATTGCCACTTAAGGAATTTGATTTTGTGTGCCTGGTATCTTTTGACATACCCACTCTATTCTTTTACTGTCATCTATTGTTTTACGGTCATACTTGGTCATTCCCAGCATATTGTGTTCCATTTAGCGTTGTGCGACCTGCAGTTTTCTTATAATGTCCATTTTAAGAGTCCAGCATAGCGATTAGTGACTCATCTATCGTATGCAAATGACATAGGCTAGGCAAGAAATTACTTGCTACGGAGCTTACAGAATACCACTGCAGGTTTTGCATGCATAGGTCATGACTGGTAGTACACACTGGTTGAATGTTTTCTTCTTTAGATAAAATGACAATCTAGATTTGAATATGATTATTCAAATTTGACATAAATAAAAAAAAACTGTTGAATTGCGAAACCCAAAACATTCTGCACCAAATTCAAATTTTATGTCAGCGTTTACCACAATAGTAACGATGTTCCCACCAGTAAATATAATAATATCCAAAACATATATAAACACAGATTATAAAATACTCAATTATATTTAAGAAAAGAGGTTTTATCCCGACGATGTGAAATAAACGTCAAGCATTATACATCATTCTTTAAACTCTCACTGTAAAAAGTATACTCATACTGTAAAAGTTTATTTGCTGGACTTATAACGTAAATATTTATTAACGTGATTTTCATTTAATTAGTAGTATTATCTTAAGATTTAATTTTTATCCAAATATAATTATTTCTTTAAAACAATAATTCATTATTCACACCTATTAATATTCCTAAGTACGTTTAAAATAATTAACGTTAATCATGAATACGAAACTGCAGTAGATAAATCTCAAAACGAATCGCTTTGTAATAAGCCTACGTATTATTTATCATGCAAATGAATTATTGTGCCAATGCAGGTTGGTAACCCGTGTAAATTCCATCATTCAACGAGGAGGCTTACAAGATGCCGCAAGAATCTCCTTGCTGGACATTTTCGGATTCGAAAATTTGAACGAGAATTCCTTCGAGCAGCTGTGCATCAATTTCGCTTCGGAGTCGTTGCAGCTGTATTTCAACAAGCACGTGTTTAAACTGGAACAACAGGAGTATGCGAAAGAAAGACTGGAATGGACTAACTTGACTTGGAGTGACAATACACCAGTTATTCAGGTAGAATTTAAATCTATTTTTATCCATATATTATTTACAATTTTATTTTAAGTTAGGCTTGGTGAATTAGGGTATTTTGCCACTAAAATCACTAAAATCGCTAACGAACTGAAACAATTATTCCACAATAAACACACAAACAATACCACTGGGTTTAAAATCCACAAAGACAAACTTCTCAGTGGTTCTTTAGTCGTAAACAAATTTGTTTCGGATGAAATATTTTTTCAGGAACTATATAATTTCCCCTATTTTCAGAAGCTAAAAAACAATTTAAAATGTCTAACTGTAACAAGACGCTTTTCCACATGACTATTATATTAACCAGTGAAATTCTGATAAGGTTAACAATAAATACTAATAGCACAGATAACATATGTGTTATCTGTGCTAATAGTCATAATTTTTACCTACAAGGTCAACTATTATTTCTGTGATTAAATTCATCCACTTAATGCCTTATACTGTCTTTACTATCTTAATAAATTGAAATTTGAATGTCATATTATATAGTTTTCTCAACATACAGGTTTTAAATACGTACAGCGAGAAGTTCTATTATTTTATAACCTTTATAGGTGTAGAAATAGATGTGTGTGTAATTTATGATACCAACACAAAAAATATTCATTTGGGTTGGGTGGTTGGTTAGTTTGCCATAAAAAAAGATGTCAGAAGTTCTTGCAAAAATTATGTCAAACCGCCTGCACCCACATACAAAATCTTCCCAGAATCACAAACGAGCTTTTGCATCAACAGCGGTACTATTGATTCCATATTTCCGTCCGTCAACTAACAGGAAAAAGTAAAGGAGCAGCAGAGTAAACTTTATGTTGCATTCAAATCGACCTAACAAAAGCCATCGACTCTGTAAGCAGAGATGCACTTTGGGCACTTACGCAAAAGTTCGGAGCACCCAAAAAATTTCTTACAGTTTGTAAAAGCCTCCATAACAAGTCTAGAGTGTCAAATCATGGACCACTTAGAGACATTTTCCTTACGAATACAGGAGTTAAGCAGGGATGCGCCTCTCTTATTCAACATATTCGTAGCAGCGCTCTCTATTATAGTGGACAGCTAACTGCAGGAAAGAGGAATGGGCATTAGATACAGATACGAAGGAAAAAAACCCAGGGCAAAAATACGTATAAAGTTTATCAAAGAACTTCCATACACTGATGAAAGCCCTCTAGTTGCAATAACGTTGCAGCAATTACAAGAAATGCTGAACGCCTGTACCTGGGCATAGGAGGCTTTGTTCCTTAAGCTGAACATCGATAAAACTAAAATTATGTGCACTCCCCCGGAAAATCATAACAATGCTATAAAATTCGGAGAAGAACTATTGAAATATGTGGCGGAACCTCGACAGTTTAATTTCAATTGAAATTCAGCACAGTATTAGCAACGTCTCAAGAGCAGTCTGGAAATTAAAAGATAGGGTTTTCTACAATCATGAATTGGGCAAAAAAAACGAAACTTGCAGTGTACCGAGCCATAATAATCCCCACCTTGTTGTATGGAAGCGAAACCTGGGTTCCGTACCGCCAGCACATGAATGCATTAAACAAGTTGCAACAAAGACACCTGTTAAGAATCTAATGGATTAATTATGAATCTCTGTTAACAACTGTTATGAATCGAATGGTACCACCATGTCTCAATCAGTATCGGTTTTTGAAAAAACTAGCTGCGAGAGCGCTAAAGCCATGATTACTAATGCCATTTAGCAGCATTGATCGAATTAAAGTTAAATTAAACTATATTAATGAACCCAAACCCGATGCCCTAATAAATTGGAACAAAGAATGTAGGTTATTAGCATCAAGAACGGAAGTCAGATCGCCACTCAGACCAAATGATTGTCTTAAGTTATTGAAGGAGGGACATTCCATTAGGAGGTGGTACACTGTTAATTGGTTGCCACAATGAGAGCAGTTCGGCGGGGGGTCGCCTTTTAAAAGGAAAAAATGGGAGAAATGGCAGTGACCCAACCTGAACCGATTCCAAATGACTTCCTCACTTCTGGACAGTGACCGAGCTACAGAAACATGAAAGAATTGAGGTTTACATTCATATAGCTTATTTGAATCTCCTGTTACTTCCCACTCTGCCTGGATACCACTTTTTATTGTGGACATATGTAGAAATTTAAGTTCAGAGATAGAGAATGCAAGTGGTAAAAAATCTCCATCATTTGCCGCAGTCTTAGCAAGCTTATCAGCATCTTCATTACTTCTTATACTCACATGGCTAGGAATCCATACTAGATCCACAGTTGAACCTTTAGATATTGAAGAGTGATGCAAGTCGAGCGATTTAACGGCTAGAGGATGTTTTGGTGATTCGTTTAGGCATTGTAATGCAGAATGCAAGAAAACCGCCTACCGAATTATCTTCTTTTTCACGGTGAGCTTGTAGATGGTAAGAGGAAACCGAGTGGACAAGTCAAAAGGTACAAGGATATTTTCCATGAAAAGGGGATATGCATGCAGAATCACTGGGAGGAGGCAGCGCACAATAACAGCAATGGAGAAGAATCGTAAACTCAGTTAATAAGGACAACCAAAACATAAAGAGGTAACAAAGTAATGAGATTTTTGAATATCCGGAGTGCGGAAGAGAGTAACATCAAGTATCGGGTTTCTCAGTCACAGAAAAGCTCATGAGAAAAACGCCTTGCGTAACCATCTTCTGATGCATGTCCAATACTCGTCAGGGAGTAATGGCAGTAAGTTAGTAATAAAATTAGGATCAACGATGTCTATTTTGGCATGGTCACTGCCAAAAATTGTATTTTTCCTATATTCTTTCTCTTTATTACAGCTATTAGGAAAGAAACCTGTTGGAATCTTCCATCTTCTCGACGATGAAAGCAACTTTCCCAAAGCATCAGACAGCTCATTCCTGGAAAAGTGCCACTACAATCATGCTCTAAACGAATTTTACTGTAGACCTAGAGTGGGTGGTAGGGAATTTGGAGTGAGTATTAAAATAAATTGATAGAAAATACAATTAAATGTTACTTTATTTAAAGATCCGCCATTTTGCTGGTCAAGTTTGGTATTCCGTTGATGGATTTCTGGACAAAAATCGAGACATTTTAAGACCTGAAGTCATAGAACTTCTTACTTCCAGCAAAGAACCTTTAGTAGGTGCCATTGCCAAACCTTTAAGTCATCAGTCGCAAAGTAGGACACTACCAAAAGGAACCAATGGTAATAAGCCTATTTTGCTTATTTTACTAATTATTTTCACCAATAATTATTTCATTTATTAGGACGGTTTGTTACTATGAAACCTAGAACACCTACTGTAGCAGCCAGATTTGGAGACAGTCTTCAGCAACTTCTAGAAAATATGTCTAAGTGTAATCCTTGGTTTGTGAGATGCATCAAACCTAATAACGACAAAACACCAATGAAGTTTGACATGCCTGTCGTTATGGAACAGATGAGATATGCCGGAATGTTGGATACTATTAAAATTAGACAATCTGGATATCCTATCAGAATGAAATTTCATCAGTTCGTTGAAAGATATAGGTAAGTTATGTAATAATAATAATAATCTAATCACAATTATAATAATAAAAAGCTAATATACAAACGGTAATCACAACAATCACAAAGCGACCCACTAAATATAAAGAGTGTGTATATTTAGTGACTAAATTCCCAATTGTTATTCACGAAACTTCGGCAGCATATTCTACCCTCAGATAAAATTAAGTAGGTAATAAAGTTCGTATTAATTTATATGCTTAAACGCTTCGTTTGGGAGATACAGGGTGTAGATCTTCCATTTTTATTTCGATTTTTCCAAATAATCTCTGAACTAACCTCGATATTTGAATGAAAATTGGAGTCTGGGAGTTTTTTGACATGAGAAATTTGATTTCGATGTCAATAATATGACTCCTACTTGTAGGGGACGCCACCACATATTTTTTTACTGTTTGAAGAGAAATAACTTCATGCCTATATAAAACTAATGTGTTAAGTTTTACGCCGTTGAGTCAAAAATTGTATAAACTGTCAAATGTCAAAGTTATTGACATAACTTACTTTTTTTTAAATGGTGCATCCTATATATATCATTAAATATTTAAAAAGACTTTTTTTTGTGATTACGAAAATATGCCACACTTGCCCTTTCTTTTCATTAGTTTAGCGCAAATTCGTATAAATATGATTAAAAATATAATTTTTCAACATCAAGATACCCGCGTTTATTATTTCGTTTCCAAGAATTGTCATGGTTTTTATAGTTATACTTCTATTATGTTACAGAAAATTTTCTGGTTTGTAAACTGGTTTGAACATTTTAGTAAATTACTTGATGGTGAAAAATTATAATTTTAATCATATTTACAGGAATTTGCGCTAAACTAATGAAAAGATAGGGCAAGTGTGGTATATTTTTGTAATCAGAAAAAAAGTCTTTAAATATTTAATGATATATAGGACCATTTAAAAAAAAGTAAGTTATATCAATACTTATTATTAATGAAAGTTTTACACCCTGTATCTCCGAAACGAAGCATTTTAGGGCGTAAATCTATACGCACTTTTTTACTTATTTTTATCTGCAGGCATATATTCTGCAAGATTTCCGAATAGAATTTGATGACACTGTATAAGCCGTGTTATAAAACAAGAATTTACATAAAATTGATGTGATGCTGACATTGTTAAATATCTTAAAATATAATTTAATTAATTATTAAATATTTATATAGTTTAATTCATCTCCTGAATAATCAATTATTTACACTAAATTATTGAATTCTCCTCCTCAGTCTTGTATTTTTATGTAATTATGTTTTATCTGCTACTAATTGAAATTTCATTAATTATACTTAAATATTACGGTTGGTTTGTGTAACACATTTTACTCAAGCAGAGCATCTTAATTACAAAAGAAGTTTGGTAGATAATTATAGGAATTTACAAAACAATTCATTAATTAATGTAGATACGTTAGAGAGGTACTTTCACATTTTATATCGTACCGTTATCCTATACAAAAAAAATCTATTTTGGACTTTTTAAAATACAAAAAACTATTAAAAAATTTAAATATTTCATTACATTAATTATTATTATTTATTCTTTCAACTTGTATTTAGATTTATTATTTTTTTAATACAAGAACATTTACGTTTAAGAACACGTTATTTTATAGCGGAAATATTAACTCTCTAAGCGCATATTGCATTCTTTATTGTTCTTGAAGTGAAACTGAAAGTGTTTCAGATGCCGCGCCATTCTACAAAATAAATTACTGTTTTGTTTTCCCAGGTATCTGCTTTCGGGAATACCAAGAGGTGCGCCATACAGAGATTTATGTAGGGCCATTTTAGAACAGATGCCTCACACAGGAACAGGTAAATGTGTTTCAGCAATTTTTTAATACAAATTTATATTTAAAATTATTATTTTTTTATTTAGATGGACCAGATTATCAATTAGGAGCAACTAGAGTATTTTTGAGAGAAAATCTAGAACGTTTACTAGAGTTGAAAAGGGGAGATTCACTCAAAGGTGCAGCTGTTATTATACAAAAGAATATCAAAGCGTATCTTGCAAGAAAGAAGTACAAGAGGCTTAAGAGAAGCGCAGTTACAATACAAAAACATTGGAAAGGTTATAAGCAACGAAGAGATTTCAATAAAATTAAAAAAGGTAGTTGTCTTAATTTGCTATAAATAAATTTTATTAATATGAATGTAAATTTAGGTGTTGTCCGTGCTCAAGCCTTGTACAGAGGAAGAAAAGAAAGGAAGTTGTATGATAGAAGAAAGGCAGAATTTAAACGACGCGTTGAAGCTGAAAGAATCGCCAAAGAAAGAGCCAAGCAACGCGCAGCTAGGGAAGCCCAACTTCAAGCCCAAGCTCAGAAAGCAAACGCTACAGCTAAGGCGGCCGCTGCTAGGAATGATAGTAAGACAGCAGTTAATCATCTGGAGATACCAGCCGAACTTGCATTCATTTTTTCAAAACTCGATGGTAATATATTTTATTTTTATATTTTTCCTAAATTTCAACAATATTTATTTTACGCTATGTTTTCCCTCCTTTATAAAGTTTACTCCAGCCTAAGTAACCATCATTCTACAGCAACAATTTTCTGTGCTTTTTTCTAAGGCGTTCGACTGTGTAAATCATAAGATCCCAATTAATAAACTGCACCACTATGGGTTCAGGGGAACATCTCTAGAATGGTTTAAGTCGTATCTGAGCAACAGAACTCAACTTGTGAGGGTGGATACAACGTTGTCTTCTAGCAAGCCAATAGAATGTACCTCAAGGCTCAGTACTAGGCCCTATTTTGTTTCTTTTTTTTATTAACGACATTGCTAACATAAACATCAATGGTAAAATATGACTTTTTGCGGACGACACTAGCTTCACTTGGAGCAACAAGGACGTCGCGGCACTTCATAGGATTATATCAAATGACTTAATCACTATTAAATCTTGGTGCGATTCGAACCTCCTGAGTCTCAACATTTCTAAAACTAAAGCTTTGTCGTATAAAAACTCGCTGCAGCCTTTTGTACTTAACAACACCACCATTGATGTCGTAAAATCTGTAAAATTCTTAGGGCTTGTTGTAGACAATTCTCTAAAATGGGACATGCGTATCGACGCTTTGTCAAAAAACTAAGCTCTGCCTGTTTTGCATTAAGATCTGTTTCGAAGGAGCTTAACTTGTCAGTGGCTAGAACTGTTTATTATGCACTTTTTGAGTCGCACCTCAGATATGTCCTTCCATTCTGGGGTACGTGTTGTGCGACTCAATTTGACAGCATTTTCAAGCTCCAGAAGAGAGCTGTTCGATATTCACTGGGACTAAACAGCAGAACTCATTGCCAGGACTTTTTTAAAAAAATATAAATATTAACTCTTCCTTCCTTATTTATATTTGAATCCGTTTGCCTAATACGTAAGCATGTATCCGCTTCTCAAGAAAGGCCATCTCACACTTATCCACTCAGGAACGCGGAGCAAGATCTTTATCTACCTACCCCACGCTCAGAGTTAGTTAAAAGTTCAATATTATACAACCCGAAAAAAATGCACAATAACCTGCCATTTGAAATCAAATCCATAACATCATTTTCTTCATTTCGCAAAGCATTGAAATCTTATTTACTAGACAAGGCTTTCTACGCCGTAAATGACTTATATTTTGATAATCGAATTTGATCTTGTAAACACTGGTCTAATATTTGCTATTACTATATTTACTATAAACTTACTAAATATTTTTGAATATTTTTTTATTCTTTAACATTGTAAACATTTTTAAATGTTTATTTTAAACAATAAGACTGACATTATAATTTGTATACTTGTTTTGTATTCTCTTTTGTTTGTTTACTTTACCTTTGTCTACAAATTGTAAATTTGTTTGACAATAAAAGCATTTATTTATTTATTTATTTGCAGGTTATACTCCTCCTCATAGCGAACGTAACTTGGTAAAGGTTTTGGGAGGAGTAACAGGAAGTCTACCACCTCTATCACTTCCTCACGATCTTAACCAATTTGAATTCTCCAAATTCTCATCGGTGTACTTCAAAGATTCTGACCTGCATTATAAAAAAGATCCCATCACAACACCTTTCCTTTCTAAAGCGGCAGCAAGAGATCAAGATTTTCAAGACGCGGTGGCACTGTTCAAGCTCATTCTGAGGTGGTCGAACGATCCACAGCTCGGAGGTCCAAGAGAAAAAGCTCTGGCTGATTACATGATCTACAAGGGTTTGAACTCGAGGGGTTTACGAGATGAGCTTTTGGTGCAACTGTGCAACCAAACCTGGAAAAATGAGAACTCGGAAAGGGTTTGGCAATTGATGGCTCACAGTCTTAGCAGCTTCCAACCCAGTCCTCCTCTTAGCAAGTATGAACTGTATAATTAATAGTCATAATAATGGTAATTAACGATTTATGTTTTAGATATCTTTTGAAGTTTATTACCGATCATGCTCCGAGTAACATGAAGGAAACACTACAACGAAAATTAACTAGAAGTTTACAGAGGGCTCCTCATTCCCGAAATATGCCTCCTAGTTTACTAGAATGGAAAAGTATCAGGCAGAAGACAAATTGCGCTTTAACTTTGACTATGTCTGATGCTACTGTATCGACAGTGAACGTCGACTCATGGTCAACTTGTGAAGAAGTAAGCTACCAGATATATTTAACTAAACTTTACCCGCAATTTCTTCCGTCAAAAAAAATAAGTACGCAGTGCTCAATAATACGCTAAATTAATATTTCATGTTTATACTAATTTTCAAAGGATTTTCTAAAAAAATAGTAATAATGTCGCTTTTTTGATCTGACTAATTACTAATGTGATTTGAAAGAACCTTAAACAAATACAGGGTGAAATGGCGCCTCTCATACGTCGCGGAGGCTCCAAGGAGAACGACAGTTTGTATTGAAATGAAATTTTGTGAGCATATGTAGGTTAGTTTAGAGCATTTTCTAAAAATATAGAGAGTTCTATATAGCGTTCTACAGGGTGTCCCCCAAAAAAAGTTACACATCAAAGTTGGATTTTTTGTAATGGAACACCCTATATATTAATTGATTTTCGGAGTCTAGGAGAAAAATAGAGAGTAAAATAAAAGAAAATAAATTCACTAGAGAAATTTGTCATTTGTTCACTAGTTTAATATGTAGTTAACATAACGATTGTACTTTAAATCAAATTAAAACTTGGCCAAAAAAGTGATACAGACATAATTAATATTGAACATTAGTCACATTTAAAAGCAAATTACTCTTTTACTTTAAATGAAACGCACATTCTATTATTTCGATATTCAATGAGAAAAAAATACTATTAAGGTTGCCTACCCTTCAAACAAAGATTTTCGTAGATATTTTTATTTTTATGATTTAGAGCCAGTAGATCTTTATTATTTGATAAAATCTAGGTGGCTGTGATTCATCTGACGTTACTTCACCTAGCTGTGAAATGAGTTCAACTTTAACAACTAGTTATTATTTTGTGTCAGTTAAAATAAACAAGAAATCTCAAAAATTTTCCAAAAAGGGAAACTTATCCTACATCAGAAAGAATTGATTGATTGATGGTGAAGAGATGATTTATATTAGTTGGTGATTGCAGTGTGCATTCACAATATAATAGAATACTTAAATCTTGGCTGCCTTTTAACATGAAAAGATCTTTTAAAAAGAGAATCATTTTTTGCAGTGTAACAGCACAGAATATCTAGCTACGCAACAGAAAAATACTCGAAATGAAAGAGCTAAAATTGCACAAATAGAATACTAGATGGCGCGACAATATCATAATCAGAATATAATTAGAAATTTTGAACTTTCGGTTTTGGATCGACGGCTCGTCGACGGCCTTATAGCTCGGCTAAATATGCACAGTTGCCAGATTCAAAAAGACTTGAATTGGCATCCCATTCTTTTTATTGTGTATGATGCAGTATGTGTTTCTTTCTATTCTTCTTTTCTTGTCAGATACACTTATATTAATTATTCCTTTGGCTATTAAAATAGTTTTAAGTATATTATTACAAAACATATACATTTTTAATATACACTACCTTATAATGTTAACTAAGAAAATACCTTTAATTACCTTTAAAATTAATAATATACAGGGCGATTGATAGTGATATTTATTAATGCTGGCACTCGATATACTTTAAGGTACCATAATATTGCAATGTCACCGAAGATCCGTAGTATACCAAATTTAAGAACAATCGAACGCCATGAAATGGTATCATAATATGGTACTATATTAAGGTACCACTTTATATACATCATAGTTCAATCATATTAAAATGTAACCGAAGATACGTAGTATACCAAGTTTGAGCCCAATCGAACGCCAGGAAATGGTATCGTAATATGGTACCATATTAAGGTACCATTTTATATGCATCATAGTACCATCATATTACAACGTTACCGAAAATACGTAGTATCCCAAGTTTAAGCCCAATCGAACGCCATGTACGTAATATAGTACTATATTATGGTACCAGTTGATATGCTTCATGGTACCATAATAATGCAATGTCATCAAAAATACGCAAGTATATATCAAATATGAGCTCAATCGAACGCCAGGAAATGGTATTGAAATATGGTACTATATTAAGGTACCACTTTATATGCATCATAGTACCATCATATTACAATGTAACCGAAGATACGTAGTATAACAAATTTAAGTCCAATCGAACGCCAGGAAATGGTATCGTAATATGGTACTATATTATGGTACCTCTTATTATGCTCCATGGTACCATAATATTACAATATCACCGAAGATACGTAGTATCCCAAATTTAAGCCCAATCGAACGCCATGTACATAATATGGTACTATATTATGGTACCAGATGATATGCATCATAGTACCATCATATTACAATGTCACCGAAAATACGTAGTATACCAAGTTTAAGCCCTATTGCCGCCATGTACCTAATATTGCTATGTCACCAAATATGGTACTATGGAAGGTACCACTTTATATGCTCCATGGTACCATAATATTACAATGTCACTGAAGATATAGTATACCAAGTTTAAGCCCAATCGAACGCCATGTATCGTAATATAGTACTATATTATGGTATCACTTGATATGCTTCTGAAAAAAACGGCGTCCAGTTGGCTGGAAAAGGACGATCGATGACATTTCCCATATAAATTTACATATAAAATGACAGTGATATTCATTTCATAGCTATTGCTAACGTCGTTTTTTCCCGATTATACAATATGAACTTGGTATGAACACAATCGAACGTCAGGAAGTGGTATCATAATAGTAGAACAAAACTTATTATATTGTCGCCGAATTACAATGAAAATTCAGGATTCAATTATACAATAAAAAGTCAGGAAGTGATTGTAATTTAGCTCATAAGATTTAATTCCAACTAACGTGGCAAACTGAAAAAAACAGCTCTGATCTATTTTAATATGTTTAAATGATGTAGCAAATTTGAAGATAGGCTTTATCAGGAAGTATTACGATATGAATTACACAATGGCAACACTGCACAAAATTCTTTTAAATTTTGTTTGTAGAAAACTGTTTTCTTTTAAATTTATTGCCCTCTATTATGTAGTAGCGAAACTACCACATCAAAATATCTGATTTGGAGACAGACTTTTAAAGCCTGTCTCCTTTTGCTACCTACAATTTTATACATGTAACGAGGCTTCTGTTGCGTAGCTAGATATTCTGTGGTAACAGGAAAGGAAACATATTGGGCATTTTATTTTATCTAGCTAATTTTTGTGTCATAATTATACGCTTATATCTAGTTTTAATTCTGTAATAATTTAAGTATGTTTTAAACATGTATCGTTTTAGTACCGTTGAGTATTTTACTCTACATTCTTTAATTTTTGTTAAATTATCAAAAGGTATATCACAGTTACCTATATGTTATCAAATAATAAATATCTACTGAGGCAAAATCATAAAAATGAAAATATCTAGGAAAATGTTTGTTTGAGTGGTAGGCAACCTTAATAGTATTTTAAAGATATATGAATGCTCCATTGAATACCGTATAATATACTGGGTGTTCCATTTAAAATAAAGGAGTAATTTGCTTTTAAATGTGGACAATGTTCAATATTAATTTTGTCTCACCCTGCATAACTTTTCGGGACAAATTTTAATTTGGTTTAACATACAATAGTTATTGTAATTAAATATCAAGCTATACAAGGTAAATTACAATTTAGGTAGCTATTATTGAAATTTAAAATTTGTTCTACATTTTCACAAAATGTGAAATATATCAAAATCCTTACAATTTAGGCATATGCTTCTTCAATGAAATTCACCTATATTTTTTTCCTAAAATCCGAAAATCAATTAATATATAGGGTGTTCCATTACAAAAAAACAACTTTAATGTATAACCTTTTTTGGGGACACCCTGTAAAATATATTTTTATAAAATGCTTTCAATTAACCTACATACGCTCCCAAAATTTTATTTCGATAAAAACCTCCTGTTCTCCTTGGGGCCTCTGCGTCGTATTAGAGGCGCCACCCTGTATATGTCTATGAAATATATTACGCTCCTAAAGAACGCAGCTATTAAGAAGTCTTGAATGTAGGAAAAGTCTGTATAGAGACTTTTCCTACATATTTTCTTTTCTTTTTATTCACTTTCACTAAATATAATTTCTCTTTAGGCCGCATTCTTAGCTATGTCAGCTTTTGGAGTGGCACCTGAAGGCTGGACAGTTATTATGGACGATGCCGGCGTAGTTTATGAAGGAAACGGCCTAGATTATATATTTGACTTAGTATCGGAATTAGAGCTATGTCCCGCATTCCCTGTTCAAAAATCCAGCTTATTAAAAACAGGAAGCAGAAAGAGTTTCCCTCAGGAAGTAGATCATCATACAGCAACGACATTAACTAGACCCCAAGTACCACCACCCGAACCACCCATTAACGCAACACGTAAGATATCCAGAGAACCGCCCAGAGAAATACCCAGATCCTCCCCACCAGCACCTGTTATCAGTTCTCGCCAAAGCTCGAGAAAATCTTCTAGAGAAGTCACACAGAATATTGATACTAGATATAGCCCTAGCAACAGAGGCTCACCCGTTGTTAATCAAGTTAATTCTCCAGTAAGAAAGGCATCTCACGAGGCTCTATCTAGAACGTCTGCTCTGAATGAACGATATTTCGATGCTGAAAAAATTCGTTCAAGAAGTCTGGATAATCTCTTGGGCGATGCACCAGAACCAAATCCATTGATAGAATTAGGTTTATCGCAAACTTCTAAATTGAACGAAAGGTATCATTCTGTAGAACAGTTAGCACCTATACAGCCGGTAATGAATCATCAAAATTACATGTCCAAACAAGAAATTGAATTTGAGTATCCAGATATAGTCAGTGTGAGTACGTCTCACAGAGATAGGGGAGGCCCAAGATATATTAAATCTCAATATGCTGGTAAGTAACATAGGTTATATCTACCGTGTTGCATCGCCGACCTGGACATAAGAAGTCCCATGTAAATTTTAGAAATGATGATGAAGTATTTTATAATAGTAAGTATTTTATTTTACAGTAAAATGTATGTGAAACTTTTAAAAGAACTCCTTAAAATGAAGCAAATTGTTCTATTTGAATGGTTTATACGAATTCGTTTTTGAGTTATGAGAGATACAAAAATACTAAATTAGGCGAACATTTAAAATAATGCGCTCCTGGTCAAACAAACAAAAACAAGTTATGTCACAATATGACAAATCTATTATGATTTTCTTCTACAGAGATCTGCCAAAAATATTCTCAGTTATATTCTCTCTGAAAAGTTTTTTAGAGAATCTTTTAAAAATTCAATATATTTCGTAGATAACTAAACACATCTGCATTAGAAGAAAATTCATATATTAAACACTAAACAATTCACAAAATTAAATACTTGTAAATAATTAAAAAATGGGTAAATTTTTTCCCTGGGTTCTTCACCCCGTCCAATAATTCTTAGTGTTCGGAATATTTAAATGACTTAAAATTATGCTTCTTCAAATTCGCAAAGCAGTCAGTGGTACGATTTTTTTCGACTATTTCTCCAAGTATTCTGGTAGTTTCTTGGTTTTCATATTCCACTTGCAACAGAATATTTAATTCATTTTCATTTATTATTTCTCCATGATCCTCATCAATATCAATCTTCTTTTTATATAGAGTCTTTAATAAATGTTCGTGTTGGAATTCTTCTCTTACATTTATAGCCTTCAATAACTGGTCTGTCATATTTGGAAAATGTATAGAAAATGAATCCTTTACAGTCTGTAGACTTTTTCTTCCACAATACCACTAAAACTATTTTGCTTTGGCTGTCTTTTTTTGTTTAGTTATTATTAAGCTTGATTTTCATGCATCCGTTGTCCGACGATACGTTGATACGATATTAAGTTCATTGGTTGTATTTAAAGGCTTCGATTGGTTAACCGTTTTGAACCAACCGAAGTCTTTAAATTCAACCAATAAAATTAATATCGTATCATCGTATCGTCGGACAACGGATGCATGAAAATCAAGCTTAACACTTTGCATGTATAAAATCAATATGACATTAAAAAACATAATTTCTTTTAAATTATTTTTGGCAACAGTAACGTCAATTTGATATTAAAAGATTGAATTTGAAGCTGGCATGTTTGTTATTCTAATCATGACCGTATTATTTTTTTGATTAATTTAGTATTTTTGTATCTCATTAACATAAGTTAATCACCGCCACCTTACAGATCTATTGTGTGTTTCCCTTTCTTGAGTTATAATGAGTTATAACTCATCATACAGTCTCAGGGCTTTAACAAAAGCCAGTATCTCAGACGGCTCCACAGAGGCCCAGCTCTCCAACCTCGACATCAGCCCTACCAAAGTTCATGGCACGAACAGTCGTCGTCTCGGCGCACTCAATGTTAAGGTGTTTCCCCATTTTCCCCACAGAATCTGCATTCGCGGTTGTTTCTTAGCTTTAGCCTACTCAAGTGTTCGTTGAGGAGACAATATCCTGTTAGAAACCCCGTGACAATCCGAAGATTGTTTTTACATAAATCAAGGAACACCTTTGATTCTTCTCGGTTGTAAGTTCTGAGGAACTTTTTCGAGTGTCTTAGACCGTTGGAGGACACCCATTTGAGGTTACGGATGGAGTCTTCCAGAATCGTCAGTTCCGCTGTCAGTTGGTTCCCTCTTGGAAAACACAACGGTTCTGATCCAGGTAGTGGAGTGTTCACTCCTTTTCTAGCTAGATCATTTGCTTTTTCATTGCCTTCTATCTCTTGGTGAGCAGGCACCCAGAGTAGGAGGACTTCATTTTCTTTACGTAATTTGATGCGCTTGTCTAGGCATTCTTTGACCAACTTTGAATTGATGGTTACTGAGTTGATCGCGTTTAGTGTTGCTTGACTATCGGATAAGATGGCTATTTCCTGTTTTCGATAGTTCCTATCTAAGATAAATTGTACGCATCTTTCGATAGCGTAAATTTCTGCCTGAAGGATGCTGGGGTAGGTGCCCATTGGTTCGGAGTATTTAGTTTTCGGCCCAAATACTCATATCCCTGTCCCTGCTTTGGTTTTGGAAGCATCAGTATATCACGTTATGGTATGGTCTTTTATATGATAAGCAAACGTTTCTTCCTTCCAATACTTTTTATTACTCAATACTACAATCAGGTGTTTCTCAAAGTTGTAAATTCTGGGTATGTCATCCACTGGGAGTTGGAGAAGTGGATGGCATACCCAGAATTTACAAATTTCATTCATACCATCATTTTTAAATTTACATAGGATTTCCTATGTCCAGGTCGGCAATGCAACAGACTATATATTATTCAAGCTTAACGACGTTCTGTTTTGAATATTCAGGAAAGAAAGGTCCTCCAGGTTCACATTCGAGCAAGTATTTTGAAAAATCCGAATTTGCGGTTCGAAGCTCAGCAATGTCCGATACAAGTGAAGCTCCAAGTTTGGCGTCGCACGTAAGACGAGTTAGGGTACCTTCACAAGCCAGTGATGTAGATCAGTTTTTGGATGAATTGTTCAGTCCGGTTTTGGATGGTAATTTGGATGAATTGTCTGATGCTAGATCGCTAGCGGCTAGTATCAAAGGAGGCAATGGAGTTAATAATAATAAATCCTTACATGAAGAAACCGATGATTATATTGAAGGATTAGATGAATTCATCGACGATATTTTGGGAAACGTATCTGATCCAAACATTGATGAACTAACAAATGCCTCTGGAATGGTTTTGAGAATTAAAGGAGGAGGACATAGAGATAGGAGTAACAGTCAAGTTAGTGAAGTAAGTACAAAGAAATAAATTTATGGCATAATTTTTATAAAACTATTACAGTTTAATAGGATATTTTTTAATTTGGTTAATTAAATATTCAAAATGAAAAATTAAAAAAATGGAAATTGTTTGTTGTTGACAATTTCCAAATAATAACTTCTCAAAATATATTTGATTGTCCTTTCAAGAGTTGTTTTTCTGAATGGATAGTTTCTTATATTGTAAGATACACTCTCTTTATAAGATCATCATCAAACTATTATAAAACCGTACTTTTATTATTTGGATATGATTTTAAATAGTTTAATTTTTACTTTTTTATTATAGAGAAGTTCAGTACTAGATCAGGAAGTAGAAAATATTACAACACCCCAATCCGTTCCTTCCGGTTCAAACACCAACGTAGACGATTACATTAGTGACCTCTTCCGACCAATCTTTATCAACGATAGTTTAAAAAATCTCACAGAAAAACATAACTTGGTAGAATCCATTAAAGGCGGTGGATCTACCCAAAGTGGAGCCTCTTCTTCAAGTTTTAATTTTCCCAGTATCCCAGCTCCCATTATGAGTCCCGCACCTTTAATGATGCCATTGATCAGCTCACCTCAAGAAGGATTTGTGCCCGTATTCAACGTGCCTTCAGTAGGAATGAATGGTGTGCCGCAAGGTAGTCCCGATTTAGCTGCTTATCAACAAAACCTGCAAAGGGCGTTCTTGCAAAGTGCAATGGCTCAAAATATTCAAATCCAACAACAGCTTTTGGCTCAAAATCAAGCTCTACAACAGCTGTTAACGCAGAGCGTTACCAGTGGAAGCGATTTAAATGTTAAGGTAAATAATATAAATAGATGTTGATATAAGTAGTGTATAACAAAATACTTTTAATTGTAGGTGACTGAAACTATTCAAACGACTGTGAAAGCTCAAGTTCATCCATCACAATCGCCTCATAATAGAAAGTCTAGTTTTATTAAATCAGGAAATAATTCCAATATATTAAGGAAGTCTAGTTCACCAAGTGCTGCATCTATAGGTGAGAAATAATCCATTAATATATTCATAATTTAGATACACGTTTGACAATGCTATAGAAGACCATACAGTCGAAAAAAACGACAGAATGTGTGATCGTAATAACTAGGCCAGCGCTAACGCCGTTTTATTCGATTGTATGGTATTTGTGTACCTTAGATTATACATGCTAAAGATACAGCATACTATGTTTACATCTAATAAACACACAATTGTTTCTTTATGAGTATTACTGAAGCCACAAATTAACGTTTAGCGACGATGATTTTGCCGTATTTTGTTGGGCAAAGTTTTGTTTATTAAGCGGATAAATCTTTCAGTACTATTAGTGATGAGGGAGATTGCTTTTGGTCTTGCACTGAAACCAAGACTAGCGTTTTATCTGCAAGACTAAGACCAAGACCGAAGACGAACACATAGCATGCAAGAAAATATTAGTAAATAAATATGGCAAGTTGGTATTTTTTACAGCAGAGCAACCACCTGAATCGTCAGCGAAAAATTTAAATTCTAGTTAGTCAGCCCGGCGCCGAATATGTTTATCATTGGCAACAATAAATTTAATAATCGCGGCCTCGATAACGTAACTAAAGGTTTATTTGGTCCAGTGGTATAGAAAGTAATATTATAAGTCCCATAGTATAGAAAGTGCATTTAGTAAAAATCTATTAAAGTGTGAGACTTGTAGGAGTCTTGCAGCAAGACCAATACCAAGACTGGACTCTGCAAAAGCAAGACAAAGACTACTATTAGACTGCTAGACCAAAAAATAAGACCACGAGGGTCTTGCTCTTGGTCTTGCATTTGATCATCACTAAGTACTATTGTAATCGCGTGCTGTATCTTTTAGAATATTCAGTCTAAGGCTTTGAATACGTAAAGATAAACTTAATAAAACTAAATTAAAAATATATTAACTATAAAAAGATATAAATAAATACTCTAACAACACATATCAAACTTCCAAAAATTAAAAAAAAAAACATAATAACCTACTTATCAGAAACGAACATATAAAAATAGTTAAACTACCATTTTAATATGATTTCAAATTTAGTTCGCTAGATTTTCGGATGTTCATTTAATTTTTTGTTATTATTTGTAATTTTATGTGTAATATTATGTAGTAAATGTACAGGGTCCGACAATAGTGGGTCGGGCATATGTAGCCCCTAAAATAAAAAACTAGGGAATTTTGTTTAAGTGCAGATGAAAGCATGTACTAGGATGTACTTCAAGAAAATATTTTAACTTCTACGTGGTGGCTCAAAAAACTGTATGTGGATCGGGATTATTTTTTTTAAACGGAACACCCTGTATATTATTGCATTTTTGGCTTCCTTTCAGATCAATCTACATAATTCTAAGATATGAGTAAATATACAGGGTGGTCCGAACTGTATTCCGGAAACTTCGGCAGCATATTCTGCAGATAAAAATAAGTAAAAATGTTCGTATAGACAATATAGATGAATGTCCAAAATTGCTTAGTTTCGGAGATACAGGGTGTAGATTTTTCATTTTTATTTCGATTTTTTCCAAATAATTTCTGCAGTAACATCAATATTTGGATTAAAATTAGTGTCTGGGAGTTTTTTGACATGAGAAATTTGATTTTGATGTCAAAATGACTACTACTAGTAGAGGGCGCCACCTACATATTTTTTAACTTGTTTGAAGAGTAATAACTTTTTGTCCGTACTTGTATAAAACTACTGAGTAAAAATATATACATTTACGACGTTTTTTACGTAAGAAATGTCTCTTGGTAGAAATCGCTACGAGTATTCGTTTTCGAGATATTTGGAATCGAAATTATCAATACCTGTCATCACTGACATGAATTAAACATGTTGACTAAATAGTTATTAGACTGAGATTATAAATTTGAAATGTTTTTGTACCAAAAGTTCAACAAAAACTGTTTTATCATCATTTTTTTTGCAGAAAAAGTATGATTAATTTAAAAAAATAAAAATTTCCCAAATTTATTATTTCAGTGAAATAACTATCTACTCAACGTGTTTATTTTTCGTTAATAATGGCATGTATTGACTATTTCCATTCTAAATATCTTGAGAATGGTTGCTCGTAGCGATTTTTACTAAGAGATATTTTTTAAGTAAAAAATTACAGAGATGTATATTTTTGCCCTAGGTAGTTTTATACAGGTACGGACAAAAAGTTATTACGCTTCAAAACAGTTAAAACACATGTAGATGGTGCCCTCTACCTTAGGAGTCATATTGACATCAAAATCAAATTTCTCATGTCAAAAAACTCCCAGACACCAATCATAGATAAATGCAACAAGTTTAGATTGGAAAGCCCGTAAAAATTTTGGGTCGCGAAATTATTTTGGGTCGCGACCGTTATACGCGATCTGGCGCTGCTATAGCGGTCGCTAAGAACAACGGCTAACAAAAACAGAAATAATTTTTTCTTGTCAAAGTCAGAATCTTCAAAAATCATAATAATCTTTCAAAATCTAAACCGCTCTCATTAAATTAATTCCGAAAAGTGTTTATAGCGTCAATTTTCAAAGTAATTATTGCTATCTTGTGAGTTCAATTCAAGTTTTATTTACTCCAACCGGTGATAATTGTGAAAAAGTGGCATTAAAAACTTAAAAAGCTGTGGTGTGAACTGTGAACTGCAAAAACCATCGTGGACCATAATCGTCGGTTTCCAATGTTTCATAGGTATTTCATACATGCGGCCTTATATAAAATAAAGTTTCTTGTATACAACACACTGTATTTTATTTATAAAATTAAACGAAAATAATAATAAATTTGAATAAACAATATTTGGCGATATAATTCCGGAAAAAGCCGAACCGCTCCGAAATTTTCAAAAGTTTTGGGTCGCGACCGTTCCAAGAATAGCGCCAAATAGTGTTTACATTGTCCTTATGGGCACTTTCCAATCTAAACTTGTTTCATTTATCTATGACACCAATTTTCATCTAAATATTGATGTTACTTCAGAAATTATTTGGAGAAAATCGAAATAAAAATGAAACTTCTACACCATGTATCTCCGAAACTAAGCATTTTGGGACATACATTTATACGAACTTTTTTACTTATTTTTATCTGCCAGAATATGCTGCTGAAGTTTCCGGAATACAATTCAGACCACCCTGTATATTTCGATGGTTGCAAGGATAATTATAAATAAATAAAAAATATATATTTTGCGGCCTTTCTTAAAAAAATTATTACAAATACAAGAACTGTAATCAAAACTATATTAGGTACTTCAGATGGTCTATACTTACTTTGCTATAAATATCTTAGATCACACAGGGTGCTCAAAATTCTACGCCAAACTTTCTAAAATATAAAATAATTTTTCTTCGTATTTTTAAATGGAACACCCTGTATATTATTTTTTTATTAGATGGGGAATTAAAAAATGCTACGTGAGAAATGCTATACGACAGAAAAATCATAGGGTGGCTTTGATAAAAATTTTCTATGGAAAATGACATATGAAATATAAAACCGCGAATATCTGAGAAACTGTTAAAAATTTTGAAACATTCTAAATACAAAAAATGTTCATTTTTTAATTCTCCATCTATTAAAAAATAATATACAGAGTGTTCCATTTAAAAATACGAAGAAAAATTATTTTATATTTTAGAATATTTGGCGTAGAATTTTGTACATCTTTTGTGATTTAAGAATACGATATTTATAGCAAAGTCAGTATAGACAGTCTAAACTAAATACCTATATAGATAATTCTACATAGATATATGGATAGTTCTTGCGTATAATATTTTTTTTATGAAAGGTTGAAAAATATATATTTTTATTTATTTATTAATATCTCTGAGACTATCGAATATAATTACTCATATCTTAGATTAAGTGATCTGAATGGAAGCCAAAAAATGCAATAATATACAGGGTGTTCCATTAAAAAAATATTTTGATCCGCTCACACTTTTTGAGCCACCCTGTAGAAGTTAAAATATTTTTCTCAAATACATCTTAGTACATACTTTAGATTTGCCCTTAAACAAAATTCCCAAGAGTACTGCCTGACGCACTATTTCCGGACCCTGTATATTAAAGCAGGGAAGGCACTTTAAAACCATACTCCCAAAATTTTTAATAACTGTTTTAGCAATCTTTTAACGTAATGTTTCTCAAATTTTCTTCAATAAATTACTACAACCCTTAATTCTCTCTTAATGCACTGTGAAAAAATGCACTGTGAAAAAAAATGTTAAATATAAATTATATTACACTTAGAGAATCAACACAATATTGCATCCAAAAGACACACCAAAAAGCTATTTTTCTCTTTAGAAATTAAATCGCGAAAAAGCTCTGACTCGAATCAGAGCTTCACAAGTAAAAATGGCATACCCGCACCTCCGCCTATGCCACCACCAATCGACGAATGCGACCCAAGCGAAACTAGACCTTTCATGGACCCCTATGGAAGAGCCAAGACTGTAAGAATAGGTAACGTATTGTAGTAGATGGATTATTTTCTTTCGGTTGTTCTTTGACCTACTGTTATGCCTTCTTTTCTCTCTTTCTTGAGTTCTTTCATTGGTCCATATTGGTATACATTTCCTACACTATCACATCTGCTTTCTTCATTTTTCTTATAAGTAGAATAAAGGTTTTAACGCAAGAATTTACGGGACTTTAGGTAAATGGAGATGGCCACCTCCAAAAGGAGAAACTAATCACGAGAACAGTGAGGACTTCATTCAGTTCAAAATGAGGCAGAACCAAAGGAAATTGACTCCTAACAAAGATCAAATCACCACCGTTACTAACGGACATATGTCTGCCAAAATGGAGGCAGCCAATGATTGGGATGAAATTGACTTTGAACCTATAGTTAAAGAAACTGAACGAGTAACAAAAACTTCAAAGAAAGCTTTTGAAATTGGGGCATCTAGACCATCTCCAGGTAAAAATATAAAATCTAATATCTACTTGGATATATATTAGCAAGAGGATTCATTTTCAGGAAGTATTGGAAAAATTAAATTAAGTACAGAAATGAAGCAACGCTTGGAACGTGTTACGGCCAACCATTCTGTGAGGTCCACTAGCAGCAGCAAAATTGACAAACCTTCTAGAACTGTTAATAAGTTGGAAGATACTAGAAAAATGATGTTAGAACAACAGTTGGCAGGCAGATGGGATGATAGTAACAGTAACGTTAGTGGAAAATCTAGTCCAGAATCGAACCATCACGTAAGTAATAACGTTTAATCCTATTCATTAATTTTCAGTGAACAAGAACTATTATTATATCAAAAATGTGTTTTGGTAGATACAGTTTAATCAATAACTAAAGCTTCATTCAGAACTTCGCAATTAGTGAAATAAATTAGTGGTTTCAATTACAATTTATACTTTTTAGTTTACGATCATTCGCAATGTTTAAGAACACAATTACAATTAATAGAATATCCTAGCAAGAACTTGCGTTAGTCAGTTGTAGCCCTAAAGAAAGCCTAAAGGTTGATTCTCATTATACCTTCCGTTTCCATTCCATATCCATTTCATATCCATTCCATATTTTTGATTGTATTCACGCTATACGTATTCTTCCGTTCCGTATCAATTCCATACTTTTTATTGTACAATTTATATCATTACGAAAGTTTTATTTTGAAAATTTGCATCTTTTAAAAAAGGTAATAGATTTAATTCAGAGGTTAAAGAACAAATAAATATCAGCAAAATGTTAACAGAGCTTGTACAAAATGTAAGAACTTGACAAAGCTGTTTCCGATACGCTTCAGTCCGTCCGCCAAAAAATGTATGGAAGGAAAGGATAGGGAACGGAAGGGAAACGGAAGGTGACTGATGCGGAAGATATAGTGAGAATCAACCTTAATATTTAGCTTATAAAACAATGAACTAATGATTTCTAACCACAATTTCTCCTGACGGAAGATAATCAAAGGCCAAAATGACATCTTTCTCGCAAATTTTGAAGTATAATTAGTGGAAAAGTTAAAAGTTTGATAACTTTTTCTACTAATTGAAAATGTCTACCAGTAATTTTGACGTTCTGAATGCTTACATTGAAATTAAAGGAACAAACTTCTACGCTAATTGAAACCACTAATTTAATCCACTAATTGCGAGGTTCTGAATGAAGCTTAAGAGTTTACTGACGTATACAGGGTGATTCACAGCCATGGTAGGTTAGATGTTTATGGAACACCGGTCATAGGATTTCTCAAATACTTGGATTTACATAAAGGCACCTGCCCCATCTATCTCAATTATTTTCAACGATACAGTGTTACCGCTTCCTATTAAAAGTAACTAGCATCTTTGTTATTTTAAATGGAACATCCGCTATATTATACATTTAACATTTTTCAAAACTGCTTATATTTCCCATATTTTTTCTATTATATTACCCTATACCTATCTCATACAGATTTTGTGATAAAAAATAAAACTTAAAATTGACAAAAACTAAACATGATCATTATTTCGAGATGAGCATTATTTTTTGTTATATAACCAATGTATAAGAAAGGGCGGTCTCTTTATTGAGATTTTTTTTCAATACAATTTAATAGCCGTGGCACTTAGAGCTTTATACAGTTGGGTATGGAACTTTTTACAAATAAAACATGACTTAGAACATTTTTTACTTACAGGTCTTCATTTATTTTATTTTCTAATGTTTTATTTATATAATAATAGCTCCCGTATATAGCGTTTAACGCCTTGGGAGTAGCAAGGTACAGCTTGCCATACTAGAGCCGTTCGGTATACAAGGAAGGTAATGTGGCTAGCACTACTACGCTTCAACCGCCTATTATTACTTCAGGATTGTGAATCCCAAGTACTCACTTAAGGCTGAGTCGACCTAGGTACCCAAACTATTTTTATTTTAATAAAAATAGTCGGCTGATGAAATGCCGGGTGTAGGATTCGAACTCACAACCTTTGAGATAGGTAGACGAGAGCCTGTACCTCTACGCCACCGGGCACCATATATGTTTTATTTTATATCTCAAAAACTCTTAGAAAAATGAGATATGAAATTAGTTTCCAAAAATGTAAAAATATACCAGGTATTCCTTTTAAAATATCAAAACAGGTACTAGTTTTCAAATGATGTGGCAACACTATAACGCTCAATATAATTTAGATAGATGAACGGGTTTTTGTAAAAATACAAATTAAAAAAAATAATCACTGGTTCTCCATAAACGTTTATCATTGCCTCGAATCAACCTATAGTATAATATAAATAATATTATAATTTCTCCTATTTGAATATTTAGAGTGCTCATAACGGAAATAAATCCCCGACGCAGCAAAGCTGGGCAAGCAGCGGTTGGAAACCTGGTCCTCCACCTCCTCCGATAGGACCAAACTCCCTACCTCCTGCTCCTCCAGAACCAGCACCATCGCCTCCTGTTGGCCGGTCAAGTCAACCCCCTCCACCCGTGGAACCGGTTAGGGATAGCTTTAAAAGCCACAGGTACATACATATATAACCACAGCCTATTTAGTTACCACATTGTCTCCTGAGCATTTTTTTTTATTTTGTACTCATGCCAACACATTGGTTATTTTTTAAGAGCGAAACGAACTTGTCACCAACAATTTGAAATTTTTTCAACTATCATTATTTTATGACGTTATTTTTTAATATCATGAGGTGGCTTTGGTAACTCTTGTCATAGTGTCATATCGATACTGATTAGAACTCTATTAAAATAAAAAAAATAAAAATTTAACGATACAGGCTTGGCTTTACTAAATATCTAAGTGATATTGAAAATAGAACACCCACTAAATATTATTTAATTTTAATGAATGTTTGTAAGCATGTTTATTATTGTATGGATAATAAATGATTATAATTTGAACGCCGTCGACACATTAGTTTTTGTTAAAATTCCAGTCATCCATTATAGACCCGGCTTTCGCACAGTTTGTTGCTACAGAGTAGTTTCAGGTGTTTTTCTGAGTTTATTATAATGCCTAGAATACGTAGACGTGCAAATTTTAGACAACTCAGTGATTTTGATATCGGATTGGGCCGGATTGTAGGTTTACGGGAGGCAGGATTATCATTTCGAGAGATTGCTGATAGGGTCCATAGAAGTGTTTGCACTGTTGCTAATTGTTGTAGAGCTTACTTTCAACAACACCGTGAACATCGTGCCAGAGGTACAGGGCGTCTAAGATTAACCACCGAGGGTCAAGATTGCTAACCAATGGTTTACGGAACACGGAAGACTCATCACGATGCTAACTGTTTACCGACGAATACGGTCTTTTGGGCTGTTATCTTTTCGGCCTCATTGGGTTTTATCATTGACCCCTGAACATCGACGACAACGTCTAGAGTGGTGCAGAATATTCAGGAGACATGGTTCTGACCGAAAAATAATATTTTAGGAATATTTGTTCACGAAATTAATTTAACTCTTCGATTAACCCTGTATAATAAGTCAAATACTAAAGTTTATAATAAACTGAGTTTACAAATTGAAGTTGATCTATTTATATACAGTTTGCTAAAAAAATCAAGAAAATAGGAATAAAAATAAAAAAAATATAACATTTTTAAACTTGACCAAAAATTTTTCCGTTGGGTTTTTTGCATCTGAGTTTATGTAAAAAAATATTTTTATTTTAAGAGAATTCTTGTCTCAAAAACAAGATCGGGATCAGCAATCCTCCTTCATGGCGCAACGTCAAGACAGAGATACCTTCGGAGTTCATCAGAACAGAGTAATGAATCACAATAATTCGAAGAGGAATTCGTTCAGTGCCAATTGGGAAGTGCAAAGCAGCATTACTGAAACCCACCATGACGCAACCAGTTGGGCTCACGAAGGTACTTCTATTTCAAATATTAATGGAATGATTATAAACTTAATTTTTCGAAATTTCAGATAGCGATAGGCATGACGGAAGGATATCTAGGGATAGTTGGGATATGGCAGATTCCACTACAATTACGTCCATAGATGCACGTGAAGTTGAGAGAAGGTAGGAATATTTAAAGAAATATATGAGGCGTCAAGTAGCAAAACCTGTTTTATCTCAAAAACGTTGTTTCCAGATAATATGCTAAAACTGTTATTAAACGTTATTTTACAAAAAAGGATCTATTAATTGGAATAATTGTTTTATATTTCGCTTTTCTAGAAATAAAAATTAATTCCAACCCTCCACTGTAATATTTAACATTTCAAAATTATTTTAGCAAGATTTTAAAAAAATACTCGAAATTTTTGCAATTTCTTCCGAAATAATAATATTATAGGTTTATGAGCTAGATCTAGCTTTATTGATAAGGATTAATTATCATTAAGCCATTAACAGATATTGTCTTTATGGAAAAAATTCTGTCGGTTATATATTTTAGTGTTGAAAATTACAAATAAACCCTTATTCGTTGCTGAAGTAAAAAAAAAACTTAAGGTTGATTACAAGTGACATTCATCATACTCTCAAATTAAGTTTGAAAAATGTAGATAAACAATAAAAAAGTATGATTGGTCATGTTGCTTTAACTTTATAAAAATGACCAGCATTATTTTATCACAACCAATAGACTATACCGGGTGCGTCTCGAAAGTGTGGCTCACCCCTATAACTTTTCTAATTTTTCAGATAAAAATGACATTTGGCATGTTGGTATACTAAGGTATATACTAATGCAACGGTTAGTCTTGGGTCGAGATTTCCGTATGTGAGAAGAGTACAATGCGTTTATAATGTACTGAACAAAGAGAGTACAGTAAACACGTTGCCAAACGTATGAAATAAACCGAGAAACTGCGCACATCGCTAAGAGACGTGGAAGGGGATATAGCAGATTTGTCGCAGTGGACCGGTCGACCCAATCAATACCTCTGTCAGTACTTAAAGTTCTAGGGAAAGGTGTACGTCATGCGTTCAGCTTCACGATTTAATTACGTCTCGTGATACTTAATTTGTTTATTTATTAACGAGTCGTTATAATTTTCCCTATAGCTTGATTTTTTTTAAGTGCAAGCTAGAAACACTTGCATTTTTAGTAAAAAGTGGAATTGAGTGGGTGTTCGATAGTGGTCGCGCTATTAGAACTCTGAATTCAAAAGTCGATATCTCGAAATCTATTAGAAATAATAGATTGTAGTTTTTTAAGAACTTTGTTAATATTTTTGCTATATTTTCTTTGTAGACAGTATGTGAAAATCTTTATCAATAAAAAAATTACACGATTGCTGAAAATTGCTATGCTCTAAAAGTAAATGGATGGATTGTTTACAATTTTTGAATGGAAAAAACAACCTCATCGAATTTTTCTTATGTAAACATATTGTAAAATATCCGATCTTGAAAATAAAAAAAATCAGTATCTAAAGTGGTTTTTGAGTTACGGCCTGTTATGTGACAAAAAAGTTGAGTTTTTAAATTATCGCGATTACTGACGTTTTCCCGTTATAAAAAAACGACACCCTAACGATATCCTTATAATTCCATTTCAGATACTCAGAAACATGTCTAATCATTTTAGCTAGTTATCTCTTGAAAAAAAAGTATTTTAAAAATAAGCGGTTTGCTATCGTGATTTTACTTTACTTGATAAGGAAAGGCGTATCGGCAACAACGCCGTAACAGCACACCGTCGCGCGTCGCGTCTGTCGGTCGCATTTCTCTCACTCCGACTTAATAAGATCCCTATGCGATTTACTTCCACACATGTAAATACCGGCCCAAAAGTAACAGTTGCCAGCACGGTATGACATAAATTAGGATTGATTGACGTATTCAATAATTGTTTTTGGTCCGGAAATGACTGCAACTTTTGACTTTTACATGGCACCTTCAGTATATTCTACTTTCTTCGATAGAAAATGACACTCTGAGTAGAATGACATATCATATGTCAACTTTTGACATTTTTGCATTAAAAAAAATCGTATTTTAAATTGGCTGTGTTAAAAACACTAATTTTTAATCAAGGAGTCTTGGAAAAATAGATTTAATCGTCTAATGTTTTTCGTGTGTTGTCCTAAAGACCTTGTATTTTTAATCATATCTGAATTTTTTCGTATGGAACAAGGGTGGCTCATTAGCATATTTGGAAAAAAACATTTTTTTACGAATAATGTGATACCACACACTTGGTATTTCGAGTTAAATTGTCGTTATGAACCGCATGTAACAATTTCAATTAAACAATATGCGAAAGTGTCAAAAGTTGACATCTGATATATCATTCTATTCAGAGTGCCATTTTCTATCTAATAAAGTAGAAATATACCGAGGCACGGTGGTCTAAATGGAAAAATTACGTGGACACTCAATTTTGTTTTTGAAATAAAGGAAATAATTGTTATTTATAATGTTTTTATGTAAAATTACACTCATCAAAAATATTTTTTACATTTTTACCTTCCTATTTTATATACAGGGTGTTCAATTCGTGCGATAAAGTCCAGTATCTCGTTTGCTATTTAGAATTTTAAAATAATGCTGATACAAAAGTTATAAGTAATAATAAATTGCTTCTTGTTAAAATATTTTTAATTATACGGGGTGTGTCAGAAAAGTGCTATAGACCAAACTTTTTAAATAAAACACCCTATATATTTTTTAAGATTTCAATTCCTGTTACTTTTTCCTGCATTTTGATATAGGGGTGAATGGTTTATACTATGTGTATCAAAAGTTACAGCCATTTTTATTTTTGACGCTCTATACCATTTACAGTACTTAATATTATTTTGTTTTATTGCGTCAGGATATTAACAAGATGGTATTTTGTCATTTTATTTATTGAATTTACAAGTGAATATTACAACTTAAAACAATGTTGACAATGATATTGTGTTACTTGGGTATTTTAACTGAATGTATTTACTGATCTACAAAATGTTATCTTTATCAAGAATCAAGGCTTCCTCTAGAGAAAATGGTCGCATCTCGTTGTTTAACCTTTTTAAATTTTTTATTTTTGCCAACTCTTCGGGACTAGAAATCGTAGCTTTTTTGATGGCAAAAGCAACATTTCTCTTTCCTTTTCTTGTATATCCAGTATAAGTAGCAAACGCAAGTTCAGCAAGACATATTGAGAAATCAATTCTTGTGTACGTCTTCTCTTAGTTCTAGTACCGTATGATCGAATAAAAACGGCGTCAGCGACGGCTATGAAATGAAGATCGCTGTCATTTTATATGTAAAATTATATGGGAAATGTCATCGAACGTTCAGTGAAGACAAACTTGTCACTTAATGTCCCCGTAATTTTTACATTTAGACCACTGTGCGAGGGTGTCATTTAAAAATTAAAAGTTGTAGTTATTTCCGGTGAAACAGAAGTGACCAAAAACAATTGAATACGTCAATTAATCCTAATGTGTGTCATATATTAACATACTAAATCTCGTTTTTGTGTCTGAAAAAATAAAAAAAGTTATAGGGGTGAGCCACTTTTATGACGTACCCGGTATAGCAAAAACTATAGTAGTATTTCTATGTCCTTTCCAATGTAGAATGTTTAGGAGGGCAGCTAATCACCGCGACCCTACAGATCTATTGTGTGTTCCCCTTTCTTGAGTTATAACGAGTTATAACGAGATATAATATATCATACAGTCTTAGGGCTTCCTCTTTTTTGTTCTCTCCAGACAATTTTAAATTCATTGGTTTTCAAATGATTTCACCCGTTTTCTTATATGTGTGATACATTGATCTAAGTATAAAAAAATCTTAAGATACAATAACACATACGAATTCTATAGCCCTCGTAAATGTGTATCGAAATAATCTCAATCGAACCTCGTAGATTTCCCGTCAATATACATTTTTTCTTCGAGCTTAAAATGCGGCGATATTTCATAATATTAATTAATTCTCCGTCTTTCTCTTTCATTCATGGTCCAAGAGAAATGAAATGCGGCAAAAAACACCGTTTTTAACACACACGGCGGGACCTAATTAGCCATTCAACGATATTGCAACGTTACTGTAGCAAGATTAGTCTAATGCCAAAGTTGCATAAATAGAGTTTGTTTTCTTGTTGTTTTAAATATATATGTTTCCAATTATTACTAACTATGTGGTTAAAACTCTCGAAAATCATTTATTGCCCGTTAGCAACCGCAAACTCAATACTTAAAAATAACAAATTAATATGTCTTACAAGCATGCTTGTATTTGTGTAACGAAACTTTAATTTTGTTATTTTGTCGGATTATTGAACCCTTATTGAACCATACGCATTTCCTTTGAAGGTGGGACAGGGACGACAGGAAATACGACAAATCCAAGAACCAAAGCAAGGAACCTTCTGAAAGACCGACATTCAGGACTCACCAGTTGAATAAGAGCGCGCTAGAACGGGAAAAGAAGCATTCTTTAGCATCGACTGCAATGACAGATAAGACTGACAGACATGAAGGTATGTAGTTCTAAATAATCTCTTTTGAATGTCTTTTAACATAATTATAAATCTTGATGATTTATTTAGGGAATCATCACTATAATTATTACTGTCAATATTATCTTATTATTTATTGCTCTAAAACTTTAACTCTAATATTTCATTATACTTGTAATACATTTTTTTTAATACAGCTAATATAGTTTGCTCGTAAGGGTAGAGGGTTCTTAGTTATTTAGTTTACGCTAAATATGAATTTAGTTTTTCACTTACTATTCTTTCTTTTTCTTTATTTGATCCATACTACTTATATACCGGGTGCGTCTCAAAAGTGGCTCACTCCTATAACTTTCTATATTTTTTTTATATGACATAAATTAGGATTGATTGACGTCTTCAATTATTTTTGGTCACTTCCTTTGGTTTCACCGAAAATAACTTCAATTTTTGATCTTTAAATGACACTCAGTAGAACCACATACCATATGTCAACTTTTGACATTTTCGCATATTGTTTGTTTGAAATTGTAACATGCGGTTTATAATGAAAATTTGACTAGAAATACCAAGTACGTGGTACCAAATCATTCCTAAAAAATGCTTTTTTTGTACCATTTGAAAAAATTGAGATATGATCAAAAATACGATTTGGTGTTCAGGGGAACATCTCTCGAATGGTTTAAGTCGTATCTGAGCAACAGAAGTCAACTTGTGAGGGTGGATACCACGTTGTCTTCTAGCAAGCCAATAGAATGTGGAGTACCACAAGGCTCAGTACTAGGCCCTATTTTGTTTCTTCTTTTTATTAACGACATAGCTAACATAAACATCAGTGGCAAAATATGTCTTTTTGCGGACGACACTAGCTTCACTTGGAGCAGCAAGGACGTCACGGCACTTCATAGGATTATATCAAATGACTTAATCACCATTAAATCTTGGTGCGATTCGAACCTCCTGAGTCTCAACATTTCTAAAACTAAAGCTTTGTCGTATAAAAACTCGCTGCAGCCTTTTGTACTTAACAACACCATCATTGACGTCGTAAGATCTGTAAAATTCTTAGGGCTTGTTGTAGACAATTCTCTGAAATGGGACATACATATCGAAGGTTTGTCGAAAAAATTGAGCCCTACCTGTTTTGCATTAAGATCTGTTTCTAAGGAGTTTAACTTGTCAGTGGCTAGAACTGTTTATTATCCATTTTTGGATTCGCACCTCAGGTATGCCCTTCCATTCTGGGGTACGTGTTGCGCGACTCAATTTGACCGCATTTTCAAACTCCAGAAGAGAGCTGTTCATTATTCCCTGGGACTAAAGACCAGAACTCATTGCCAGGACTTTTTTAAAAATTAAAAATATTGACTCTTCCTTCCTTATTTATATTTGAATCCGTTTGCGTAATACGTAAGCATGTATCAGCTTCTCAAGAAAGGCCATCTCACACTTGTCCACTCAGGAACGCAGACTCGCAAGATCTTTATCTACCTACCCCACGCTCAGAGTTAGTTAAAAGTTCAATATTATACAACTCGAAAAAAATGCACAATCACCTACCATATGAAATCAAATCCATAACATCATTTTCTTCATTCCGCAAAGCATTGAACTCTTATTTGCTAGACAAGGCTTTCTACGCCGTAAATGAATTATATTTTGAAAATCGAATTTGATCTTCTAAACATTGGTCTAATGTTTGGTATTGCTATATTTACTAATGACTTCGATATAAATTTATTTAGAGGTCATTGATATTTACTATAAACTAACTAAATATTTTTGAATATTATTTTTATTTTTTTTTGTTCTTTGACATTGTAAACATTTATAAATGTTTATTTTAAACAATAAGACTGACAATATTATTTGTATAATGTTGTGTATTATCTTTTGTTTGTTTGTTTGTGTACCTTGTTTGTTTACTTTGTTTGCTTAGTTTACCTTTGTCTACAAATTGAAAAATTTTTTGACAATAAAGGCATTTATTTATTTATTTAAGACACTAAAGACTATCTAGATTAGATGATCAAACATATTTTTCCAAGGCTCCTTAATTAAAAATTAGTGTTTTTAACACAGCCATGGTACTGTAGATTAAAATTTAAAATACGACTTTTTTTAAAGCGAAAATGTCAAAAGTTGACATACGATATTATCATATTCATTGTCATTCTATTCAGAGTGCCATTTTATATCGAATAAAGTAAAAATATACCGAGTGTGCCATTTAAAAATCGTTGTAGTAATTACCGGTGAAACAGGAAGTAACCGAAAACAATTGAATACGTCAATCAATCCTAATTTATGTCATACACTAATACACCAAATCTTGTTTTTTTATCTGAAAAATTAAAAAAATTATAGGGGTGAGCCACTTTTGCGACGCACCCGGTATAATTTTTGATACTACTCCTCAAAATAAATAAGCCTCCTTGCCTGAATAAACAATATACTATTAACTATTTCTTTTCTAGTACAAGAATGGCCGGAATTTATGCGCCCAATCAAAACTCCACCATCCAAGTCACCTGTCAATAATCAGCCGAGCACAGAAGATGTAGAAGAACCTAGATCCCCAACCAGTCCAAATCGACTGCTACCATTGGGCACCTCAGCCTACGTCACTTACAATAGAGTCTCCTGGCTCTTGAGAGTCAGAAAGGAGTACTTCTCTCCTTCAGAACCACTTGGTAAGAAATATTATTAGCATTTATATTTATGAATGATTTAACAAGGAACAAAGAAATTTAAAAACCACTTTGTCATCCTTATAGCTTTTTTTATTGGAGATATTCGCTTTTGAAGAAGACCGTAACGATTTACAGCAACTTAGCATTAAATGCATGTCTGTACTTTTGGTAAATATGAAAAATTGTGGTTATTGTTTTTCTAATGTCACGGTCATTGAAATTGCATATTATTATTGTTTGTTCATACATACATACATACATACTGCCATTACTCGCTGACGAGTATTTGGCACGAATCAAAAGATGGCCATGCAAGGCGTTTTCTTTCATGATTTTTTCTGTGACTGAAAAGCCCGATACGTGATGTTAACTGCCTACCGCACTCCGGACATTCAAAAATCTCATTGCTTTGTTCCCTCTTTACTTTTTGGTTGTCGCTGTTAACTGAGTTTACAACTCTTCTCCATTGAGTTCTATTATGAGCTGTTTCTTCCCACTCATTCTGCATTTTAATCCTCTTTTTAAGTTTTCGTGGAAAATATCCTTGTACCTTTTGAGTTATCCACCCGACCTCCTGTTACCGTCTATAAGCTCACCGTAAAGCAGAGATTTTGGTATGCGGTTTTCTTGCATTCTGCATACGTGACCAGCCCATCTTAAGCGGGATTTTGTAACCATGGCTTCAATATTCTCGCAGTTAGCTTTTTCAAGGACCGACACGTTTGAGACATGATGGAACCATCGGATTCTTAAGAGCTGTCTAAGGTGTCTCTGTTGCAACTTGTTTAATGCGTTCATGTGTCGTCGGTATGGCACCCAGGTTTCGCTCTCATATACCATGGGGGGGGTTATAATTGCTCGGTACACTGCAAATTTCGTTTTTGTACTCAAATCATGATTGTAGAAAACCCTGTCTTTTAATTTCCAGAATGCTCTTGAGGCGCTGCTAATCCTGTGCTGAATTTCAGAGTCGATATTGGCCTTATTGTGTTTGTTCATAGTTACTCTAGCAGAGATAAGTCCAAAAGTTAATCTCTACCATGTGAGGTTAACGAAATATTAGCTGATACAACTTTTGGATTTAAAATCATCTTTGCTAGAATAACTGCCAACCAACAATGATAAAATATTACTTTTCAATGACAGTGACATACTACTGCAGTCTTCATCAAGTTTCCTAAACATAAAGTCGGCATCCTCCTCACAACCTGTAATGCTCGTCTGCAAAAAACAAAGTCGATAGACAGTGGTTGTCAATCTTTATTCCCATAGATCTACTCTTCCTTCTCCAATTTTTCAATGTCTCCTGAATAGATGTTTTTAATAAGATAGGTGATAAACGGCACCCCTGCCTGAGTCCTTTTGATGTCAGGAGGGATTCCGATAGGAACTTCCCCTGTCTGATCATATTTTTGTTTTTGTATATATTCCAGATTGCATTGAAATATGTTTTACTCATATGTGTCTCAACCAAGATTTCAAATACGAGTAATTTCTTCAAAGGCACCGTGTCATAGGCTTTCTCTAAATCTATAAAATTCAGATGCGTGTCTAAATTTCGAGCTCTCCTTTTTTCAATTATTTGCTGTAACACAAATACGTTGTCTGTACAAGAACGCCCAGCGCGGAAACCACCTTGTTCTTCTATTTCTTTAAAGCTTTCTTCTATTTTTTCTTTTAATAATATTATCTTTTTTAATAATATCTCCAACAAAAATAAGCTTGATTTAGATGAACCAAAAAACAAAATATTGAGAAGAAATACATCCTGATGGTAAAATGGTTTTTAAATTCCTTACTTTATCCAACCATTCCACAGAGTGACAGATGAGGACGTTAATTTTTAATTTAAAAACAAGCTAAAAAGTAGAATAATTTAGCTACACATTGCTTAAAAAATCATCAAAATCGGCCACCTAGATCAAAATATATTGAAACTTTAAAATATATAAAAATTTTAGGGTGTAAAATGTATTGTGAAAACTAATTAATATATAATTAAATAGAGTAATAGTAAAACAAATATATATATATATATATATATTTAAAACTACTGTTTTCTTATGTTCATTTCAGGTCCACTAAATGCCCTTCATCTGATCTTCTGTCAGATAGCAGCTGACGTGTATGGCGTTACTCCATGCATAAGACTAACAGCCAACGAAAAACGAGCTGGTGTCAATATGTTATCCGGATATGGAGTTACAGCGGAGAATTTCACTAGTTCCCATAGGGCGAATATCAAGAGGAACGTTATTGAACTGGCAAGAACGTGGCCTTTATACTTCTCCAGACTATTTCCCGTTTCTGGAGCAGCTCAGGTATAATATTAATTTCATAAAAATCGTGTGTTGGATTTGTATTATTTTTCACTAATCTTATATTATCAAATATTATCTCTTTACTTTGTGGAAATTTGATAAATATTGGCTAATCAAGTCCCCATCATTGTCAAATATTGGATAACAGTTATGTACTGAAAAACGATTGGATGTCAAAAATAAATGCAATGCAATGAAGTCAAAAATTATTCTCTTATTGAACACTTACAGTTATACAAAACTAGTAATTGGGTAAAACACACAAATTGGGGCTGTATAACTAAAAGCCATTGTAGAATAGTTATATAGTGTACATTGTATTTTCTTGGTTACAGCTCTCCGAAGTTCAACTTATTGCAGTCTCACATTGGGGCGTCCACTTGGTGAAAAGAGAATCGACAAATCTACAGGTGATCAAGTCATTTCCTCTAAACGAAATATCTGCCTGTACCGCTCCAAGACCAACCACAGTTAGTTTCGATGGACCTCAAGGAAAGATCGCTTTACACACTCCAAGAGCCCAGCAACTGTCGGAAATGGTTACGAGATTTTGTGGTGAATATCGAAAGGTAAGTGATTTTAGTTATTTATTGAAATAGTAGTATATTGGTAGTAAAATTACAAATCAACAATACTCATATACCGAATATTGATACCAAGAATAATGATGTCTTACAACGTTTGAATTTTTCGCCATTTGTGTTATTTGTGCCAGTGAAAGTAGTAGTTAAAACAATGAAACAGGTTTATGGATGTTCAAATATTCAAATAAATGTCTGGTGCTTTAAAAAGTTATAGAACTTCAATTTCAGAATTTAATGTAAATTTTTAAATATCTACTTACTAAAAATCTTATAGATATTTATATTATCTATTTATCTGAGCTACTTGGTTATAAACTAAATGTACTTATATTAAGGCTAATTTTCACCAAACGGACAAAACCGTGACAAAACAGAGATTCCGTCCTTTTCAACAAATCAGCAATCGGACCCAAGTAGCATTTTCACGACTTGCGACCACATGTTTACTAAACACAACGTTGGATTAGTTACAAAAAATAGTTAGCTCCCTACCTTGGGTATTAAAATAAATTTAAACGTTTTTATAACGTTGTGCCGACGTTGGACTAGTACTACAGCAAAGTAGAAGCTTCTGCGACGTCGAATAAACGTTGTCTTGTAACCCTTTTTGCTTAAGTGATCTTTAAGTGATTCGGACAACGTAGTTACGACGTTGGATAATATAGAGTTTTCCGACGTCAGTTTCAGGACCTATTCCAACGTTATGCAAACGTCGTCTGTTTTACTAATTCCAACATTGTTTAGATTTCCTTATTCTTACGTTGGTAGGACGTCGAGTCACTACCTTTTGGCAACTGTATTGAACCATAACCTTAAATCTTAAATTCTCACTTTATTGTTCTGTTCAGTCAGACAGTTCAGTGCTGTTTTTGTTTTTATAAAAAAAAACTTAATTAAAATGGGACATAAAAAAGGTACATATAAAACTAAATTTAAATATACATCGACATATATTACCGATAGTCTATCCACTCCCTCGTTTATTTAAATTATAGACGGCGGCACAAGCTAGACTCTAGGATGACTAAATTAGGCAATCTTGCGACTAGTATACTACCTGCTAAGGCCGAACTGCGACTTTATTAGTCCAGTATGCGACTACTCGAACTACTCCATCTTAATCTCCAAAACAACAAAGTGAAAGCCGCCATGTGGTTAAATAAGAAAATGTTTCGTTCCTAAAATAGCATTTCCTGCTTTTTGAATACATTAACTTAAAATATTTGACCCTAAAAAACACGCAGAAACAATTTTTTCGACTGCGAATAAATTATTCTCATTTTATTAAAAAAAAATCAAGAAAATTTTTAAAACTTCTTTAATTTTAAGGCCCATTAGTATTTTTCAAAGTAGAAACAATACATTTATCAATAAAGTTGTTTGCGTTTAACTTTTTTGACTTGGGTAACGAGTTACAGAGTCGGTTAAAGTGTTTCAATAATTATGATCTTCAAACATCCTCCACACTTAAATACTTTTGTTTTGTTTTCCTTCACTGCCATCTGACATATATCTCTAACTAAATCATAAAAATAATATTTTTACTATAATTATCCCAATTTAGGATAAAACGCGACTTAGACGCCATATTAGTTTTGTATTTCTGTGAATTAGGATTTTAAATAACGTTGCAGTTTGTACTAAATTAGGCTTCTAGCCAACGTCGGTATCCAACGTCGTTTCGACCCAAAAATTATTCTCCAAACTAGTGCAGACTAGGGTTGGCACGAGGTTGTGCCGACGTTGCGCCCCGACGTTTGGTCGCGTGACACAACGTTGTCCCGACATCCAAATGCTGCTTGGGGAGTTACCAAAATGAAAATACATACTGGAGATTTTGGGCCTTTCTGTTTTCATCAATAACAAAAAGTGTTGTTCCTAGTAGGAAAGATTAAGGGTTTCTATGTTTTGTTTGTGATTTTGGAAACATATTTCAACTAATGGAGCATGGAAACGGCAATCAACTAAGCAGTGGGTTTTTCTAATTTTATTTCCTGTTTGCATCTAATCAATTGCAACAATTAACAGGTTTAGTTTCTATATTCATTACTGGACATTGTACAAGGTCTGGCTATTAAATAAAGAGTTTGAGCGCATTGATGACATCTTAGAGTAGTAGATGGGTAAAATAGAACGTAGCGTTGGTTGGATGGATGTGTCTATTATTCCAGTACGTCTTCTTATTCAAAGCAGTACGTAAACACCTTTTCGTTGATTTAGTAGTAATTTTTCTATAGAGGTTAGGTTAGGTTGCTGAGGTTTTGGGATCATGTCTAAATCCCTCACTCGGAGGCCTTGGGCCCATTTCGAAACCTTGCAAAAAAACTTGCTTTAAAGTTTTAAAGCGTCGGTATTCCAGTGCTGGACAATGAGAATGCTCTATGGTTTCTTCTTCCTCTCCGCATTCTCCGCAGTAGTCGTCGTTGGAAATCTTCCATCGCACGAGATCTAGCCCCGTACCGCCAGGCAGTTTCCAGTTTCCAGTTTCCAGTAATGACACCTACAATTAAGCGTATTAGGCTCTTTTTGTACTCTAGTAGTTGTTGTGTCATTTTGATATCTACCACTGGCCACAGACTTCGAGCATTCAATTATCGAATAATTTTTAAAATAAACCCCATTTTTACAAGTAGTCTCGTCGTTTAATACCCAGACCTCGTATGTCATCATTAATCCGGTCGGTCATGGTTTTACCAGTTTCATAATTTCATAGTTTTAAAAATGGACTTACCAATACCTTCTACACAGAGCTGCAACAAACCAGTTTCAAGAATACTTAATCTAAAGTCTTTATAAAACAATATATACTATATTTTTTATTTAAATCATGATAATCTGCGAATTAATGTTGATTCTCACTATACCTTCCATATCAGCTAGCTTCCGTTTACATAAAATATTATATCATTGTAAATGAATAGGACAATGCACACGATCTGTTCCATATCCATTCCTTTCATACATTTATTTGGCAAACGGACTTCAGCGTATCGGAAAGAACGTTGTCAAGTTCCTACATTTGTACCAGCTCTGTTAATATTTTGCTGAAATTTATTTATTCTTTCACCTCTTAATTAAATCTATTACCTTTTTTTAAAATACAATTTTTTAAAATAAAACTTTCGTAATGATATAAATCGTAGAGTAAAAAGTATGGAACTGATACGGAACGGAAGCTTACGTATAGCGTCAATACAATAAAAAATACGGAACGGATATGGAATGGATATGAAATGGAAACGGAAGGTATAGTGAGAATCAACCTTTAAGTGGACAAAATGACTTAAGTCAAAATAATTACCGTCAAGTCAAGACAGCCAAAATTAAATTTAAGGACTTATTTTTAATGTTAATATTAATATGAATTTTCTTGTATTGCCGATTACCGATTTCTTTAACTATATTTTTAATTGATTGTAGGTATACAAATGAAATTAAGGCTACATAAAATAAAACAGTTCATTTGCAGAATAACTAAAAACAAAAACATATGTTTTTATAAAATTTAACCAATTTTGTAGTATGTACTTTATATTATGTATCTATTGCAATTTAGATGTCATCGCATACATGTCCATTAAAAAGTAAATGAAACACGTTTCTGTATCTGTTTTTTTCTAAACAAAGCCGCTTAAATTGAGGTTGTTTGGGGCAAATCCGCCTTCTGACTCTAATGTATAGTTCCTTCCTTTTTTTTTAATTCGGACTTTCTAGCGCAGCTTGAAATATTTAAATATTTGACTGAAGTGCCGTAAGGTAAGTAAGCATATAGCTCGGAAATTCAGGTACACTGGTGTATATTAAATTTGTTTCTTTCTAAAATGCATATGAATCTCTAAAGAATTCAACAGTCAGGGGCTTGGGACACCTTCAAAAAGAAAATTCCACTTCTCAAACTCCCTATGGATGACATACCAAGAATTTAGTAATAAATAGGATTGGAAGGACGAAACGTTTGCTCAGCATGTAAAAGACCATATCATAACGTGGTATACTGATGTTTCCAAAACCAAAGCAGGGACAGGGATAGGAGTATTGTAGCCGAAAACTAAATACTCCGAATCAATGGGCACCTACCCCAGTATCCTTCAGCCAGAAATTTAGGCTATCGAAAGATGCGTACAATTTATCTTAGATAGGAACTATCGAAAACAGGAAATAGCCATCTTATCCGATGGTCAAGCAGCACTAAACGCGATCAACTCAGTAACCATCAATTCGAAGTTGGTCAAAGAATGCCTAGAGAAGCTCAACAAATTAGGCAAAGAATATAAAGTTCTCCTACACTGGGTGTCTGCTCACCAATGGCCAATGGATAGAAGACAATGAAACAGCAAATGATCTAGCTAGAAAAGGAGCGAACACTTTACTAACTGGACCAGAACCGTTCTGTTTTCCAAGCGGGAACTAACTGAAAGCTGATTTGAAGAATCTGGAAGACTCCATCTGTAACATGGAATGGGTGTTCTCCAATGGTCTAAGACACTCGAAAAAGTTTCTCAGAACTTATGACCGAGAAAAATCAAAGAATTTCCTTGATTTAAGTAAAAACAATCTTCGGATTGTCACGGGGTTTCTAACAGGACACTGTCTTCATAACGAACACCTCAGTAGGCTGAAGCTTAGAAATAACGGCGAATGCAGATTCTGTGGGGAAAATGGGGAAACACCAGAACACCTTATCAATGTGCACCGAGACGACGACCGTTCGTGCCATGAAATTTGGTACGGCTGATGTTGAGGATGGAGAGCTGGCCCCTGTGGAGCCGTCTCAGATACTGGCTTTTGTTAAAGCCCTGAGACTATATGATGAGTTATAATTCGTTATAACACAACAAAGGGGAACACACACTAGATCTGTAAGGTAACATTCTACATTCTACAAAGAATTCAATAATATTTTGGCAAAATATCAAAAATTATCGTGTATAATAAGAAATCGTCCTATACATAAATGTATTAAAAATCCGTTATGGCTGCCAGCT